GACCCTTTTAAATATCTCATTCTTGTCGATATTCGGCGTTGAAGTACTCTCCATTCCTCGGCTAGCAACTTCCTCCTCATCTATTTGATTGAAGGTGTTCTACATAATTATATAAATTTTAATGTTAAATAGTAATCCCAATAAGTTATATAAAACTAACATACATATAAAATAAACTTATAAATTACTTACCTAAGATTTTTTTTAAAAAACGATTGTATGTAATGACACAGAGAGTTTTGATTACAAATAATAATAATGACGATGAAGGCACAATACTTATCGTGAATAATGTATAATTTGGTAGAGCATTCACACTCTTGTCCAGTTATCGTGAATAATTTATAATTAGGTAGAGCATTCACACTCTTGTCCAGTTATCCGACTTAATCATGCAAACCAATTTGGTTCTCGGTTTCCCTACGTAATTTTCTCTTATATCGTGAATAAAGTATGCAAAAAGCGTTCATTACAATCTTCCAAAGTGTGGTTTGAAAATAATTCACCTAGCTGAAATCAGCACTGCAGTTTTCATCCAATTATTATAAATGGGGTCCACTCTATTTCTCATCCATTTTTACTCATGATAGAGGGACCCATGCTTCAAAGTAAATGAGAATTTTAACAACTACTTTAATCGACCATGTTTATCACGTTGTGGACCTGTGGTTGCAAGCTCACTGGACGGGCCAAATCTCGAGCAAATTCCTATTATCCTTTTGCCAATTTCCTAAATTAGAGATATTATAAAATCATTCCCAGTGTTTTACTTAATATTTAAAATTTTTTAATATAATATTAGAATTTTATTGTTTAAATCATTAAAAATTCATATTTTACTGCCTACCGTTTAGCTTTCATTTAAAATTAAATAATTAAATAAAAGACAGTATAAGTTTCAAACTTGAGAAAAAATTCAACTTAAAAAAATAATATAAAATTATTTATAAAACTTTATTCAACAATTTAAAATTTTAAGTTGAAATTTTTATAGAGATTTTTAGGTTGAATCTTTTTTTGTTCCCATAATCTAAAATTTTTATATATAGTTGAAATGAAATTCTAAACTGTGGTTTTAAAAATAATGTATAGTACAGCACATATCCAAAAATATTTTAAAAATAATGTATAGTACAGCACATATCCAAAAATTGTTCATTCCAATCTTCCAAACTGTGTTTTGAAAATAATTCATCTTAAACCACCACTGCTGCAGTTTTCATTCAATTATCATAAATGGAGGACAAAAATATTAGAGAAGAGCATTTTATTACTAATTTTTTTTATTATGTAAAATTTCGTTCCTTCTTTATTATTGTAATCACGCGATGTTGACCTTCTTATTTTTATAAATTGTACAAAAAAAAAAGAATCCAAAAATTAAATATTTTATTCTATTTATTTGGTTTTTCAAAATTTTAGTCTTTTTTTGGAGTGTTTACTAGTTTTATAATTTTCACGAGTTTCAAAAAAAAATCATCAAGCATAAAAAAGAGTGAAGAAAAAAAACCAATGAATAGAAAAAAAAAAAAAGAGGGAAAAGAATGAGTTCAAAAAAAAAAAAACTTGAGCTGTAAAATAAGTGAAAAAAATTAAACAGAAAATCAAGGAAGAAAGAAAGAATAAAAGGATAAAATCAAGAAAGAAAGAAAAAAAGAATAAAAGCTTTTAAACTATCCTAGTCCAAATTAATTAGGCCTAATTCCTTTTTTATAGATAGCCTAATCCAACATAGGGCCGGGATTAATCTACCCCTAACGAGATTAAGTTTAATTAATTATGGGATATAAATAGATTTAAAATAAATAAATAAAGAGACAAAAAATTAGAAAAATAAAAATATCGAAATAATAAAAAAAAGCCAAATAGACTTCTCTCTCTGCAACCCTAATGAAATTAAGTTTAATTAATCTTATCTTTCATTTAAAATTAAATTATTAGTTCTCTTCCAGTCAACTGTCCAGCTAGTCAGTGTAAAAAACACAGTGGAATCACGCAACGCAGGCTGCTGGTGTGCTTCCTGCCCGCGAGGAAAGAAAGAGGAGCGACAAAAGGTTGGTTTAGATTTGACTGTTTGCAGTATGGGAACAATTAAAAAAAGAAAAGAAAAGATATCTCGGTAACGAAAACTATAGGAGGCTGCATGTATTGACGAGATCCAAGGCAAACGGATTCAGGCAGCCTCACGGCGATAGGTTCTTTCAGTAGAGTATCAATAATATAAGTGGACGGAATAAGTACTCTGGCAAAGCTCTGTTAGCTGGGGAAGCTTTTTACTAGATACATGTAAGATCTAAAATAATTAGCTTTGGGTCATGACTAAACGTTGTAGTCCTGAGCGCAGTTGTCACTCTTTAAGTAATAACAACCAACAACACTGCAACAAAATTAAATTTTCAGAAGCATTTTCTTACAGATTCTAGTAAAAAGCTATCTTATAATGGCATTTTACGACTTATTTAGCCCATATCTAACAATCAGTCTCTAATAAGGAATAAGGGGTACAATTCATTTGCAGGTATTAGATCACGTAGGAGTCCACTGCCAAATATTAATAGAAATGAGGCTTTGCACATATATAATCCATATACTTTTTAAATTATTTTGATTGAGACTGTATATTCTTTTTTCATATTGATTAAATCCTTCTATTTTTTATTTTATTTTATTTTCATCTCTTCATTATGATCTCATTAGTTTATGAGCTAACATGACACATCTATTTGTGAATGCATGAAACGTATCATACGTAGGATCTCAATAAAGAAATTCAATTAAAATAATTCAAAGAGTAAATAGACTCAATCAATACAATTTAAAAAGTATGAGGATCAAATTATTTTTTTATTTTTCATATTATTGTTTTTTTTTAAAACACCATCCTAAATTAAAAAATGTATCATATTTGAGACTTAATTACAATAAAACTGTAAAGTTATTTTTTAAAAAATTATTATAATAAGTTAGAAATATATTATAATTAAGAAAATGAATATAGCATGTAATTATTAAATCGAAATTATGGTGATTTGTAATATCGATTAGCTACTGATTCTTAGTTAATGGGTCTTAACCTTTAACAAAAAGTAAGAAATTCTAGATACAAATTCAAAGTAAAAAATAGGGTTGTTTCCTAAAAAAATAAACTAGGATTGTCCATATTTTTTTTAATATAGATAATTAGTTACTAATCGGTAACATTGTTGTTTTCATTTTAATTTTGATGATCTTAATATTTATACTTTTTTTTAATTACATGTTAAGTTCATTTTGTATATATTTTATTATTTTTAAATTATTATAGTAATTAAAAAAAAACTCTTTACGAGTTTTATTGTAATAAAGTTTCACATATGATGTGTTTTGCAACATTCAACATAGAATCCTAAAAAAATATAATAACATAAAAATTTTAAAAAGATAAATTAATGATTTGGTTCCTATACTTTTTGAATTGTGTTAACTAGGTCTCTATCTTTCGAATTATTTTAATTGAGTCTCTCTGTTAGAATTTTACATATGATACGTGTCATGCATTTAAGAGTGGATGTACCACAATGACTCTCCAACTAATAGCATTACAATGAAGGGATATAAACAAAATAAAATAAAGAATAGAAAAGTTTAATCAGCACAAAAAAAAATATGTCTTAAGTGAAACTTTCAACCTTAGATTTGAGAAAAGATAGAAAAATACAAAGAACTTAGTTCAAAGTTTAGCGTGTTGCATAATGGTAATGATGGGTATGAGACCATTAACATATATAATTACAATGATAAATACATAATGCATATAGAGAAAACATTATGCACATGTAGGTTGTTTGAGATTACTAGTATACTATGTTTATATGCTATAACTATTCGTATTACTCGGAAGTAGTTATTGGATAAATGTGTCCTCTATTTGTATTGTCATATAGTGACCTCTCGATGGTTTTACAAAAATAAATATATTTTCAAAATATATGGAGTCGTCAATTAGTTTTTAAAAAGATAAAAGCTAAAAATATAATGTAATAGAATATAAGTATATTACAAAACTTCAAGTTAATTGATTTACGAAACCAATTCATATGTTTGGATTAAATTAACTGATCTTTTGTCATTGAATGTCGATTATCTCATTGTCGAATAAGAAAGAGTCTTCCAATGTTGTTACAAATTGGTTGCTGAATTAATTAAGGTCATTTAGATGCTTCAATATAGCAGATCCAATATCACAAGAATTCTCCGTCTTAAAATTATTTTGTTCATAACGTTAATTAGAAAAAAACAACAAACCTTTACAGTGTTTGGTATTTTACATCTTTTTTGTCAATTAAGAATAAAAAGAAGGATTGCAGGAAAAGTAGAAGCAAATTAAGACCATTTATTTAGCCCTTTCCTTTTTGTTATATTTTAGGTATGAGAATTCCTTTTGACATTCAATATGATCATGAAATTTTAATAAGATATAGAGAAAATACAAAGAGAGATTATTGCAATCAGTCCACGTGATCCAACATCAACTCTCAGCTAGCAGATTCCATTTCCTTATTCAAACACACATACATTACTTACATATACACAAGAAGACCCTCCTTTTCTTCAGTAGGAAACTTAAAAAGAGTTGGTTTCCTCAGTTATTTATGGCAAACTACTATCAACATAGCAATACTCACAAAGAAGCCTCACTTGTACCGGTGCCAATCTTATCTATATACTGACTTGGCTTGCAAAACCCTCCAAAGTTACAGGCCTTCATTTATTTTATATATATAAACAGCAGCAAGCAGGAAACCATATCTCGGAAACCAGCAACGTTCTAGCTACTTGATAATATTATCAAGCAGACATAGTTTCCAATTGGCGAGCTTTCCGTATCTCTATCAATCGCCTTGCAAGACTGCACAACATCAACGCAAGGTTGCAATAATTAATACCTACAAGAAGCTGGCTTTGGTGCCAATTGAGCAACTAAGAAAAAAATACAATCAGACAATTCATAAATCTTGTTCTTACTCCTCAAGTTTGGCATCGTTTTTTGTCGCTAAATCCTCACCGATCTTCTTGAGATTCTCCAGATTTTTTTGGCTAGTATCGTCCACCATGGATTCAGTGAGTGCGAGGTTGGCCTGATTGTAGTATGAAATGGAAGCGCATCATTAGCAATGAAATATAATTGCTATTTTTTAAAATATGTCGTGCATCAGAGCAAGGGATGGAAAAGCCTTCCTTAATTTACAACCACAAATAAATAAATAAATAAAACAATAATAACAAATAAAAAAACCAAGTAGCCAAAATTCCAAGATTTTCAAATTGAAGTGCTAGTCATTGATACCTGGAGCCGAGTGTAGTTGTTTTTTAATCCACTGTATTGAAAGATGCTGGAGGCATACATTTCAGTCAATTCATCCGCTGCAGTCATCAAGATATCCAACAACGGGTTGGAATTGTCATCCTGCCAAAGCCAATCAAAAATTCCCCATTCGCCACCTCCAACCTCTAGCCTGTCCCTTTCATTTGGTGCTCCAGTTCCAAGTGAAACAACGACAAGCTTGTCAAAATCCGTCTTTCCTTCTTTCATCACCTCACGCGCAGCTAGCAAAGACTGATCATAAGATTATCACAAGAGAGATAAAGGAATTAATCGATCGAAAGCATATATATTCATGGTGACTGACTTGAATGTCATCAAGTGATTAATTATATATGTATATATTTGTTTTATCTTAATGAATAGTAACCTACAGGATTATTGGCTGCAACACCGCCATCAACTAGGTTGAATTCCTGGCTGGTTTTAAAATAATATGGGGGAAAGTAATACGGTGCTGCAGACGTGCCAATACAAACGTCTGAAAGCTGAGCATCCATTGACTTGTCACGCTTTGCCTACAATTAATTTTTTCATCTATAACTTGTAAAAGAAGATCACGTTGAGAAAACAACAGTCAAGTAATTTCAATATATGTTGGAGTAATCAAGAACCTTTAAGGTGGAGAAGATGGTTGGCCTAAAATGCTTGATGTCGAAGGAGGGGATAATCACGTTTGTTAGAGTCTCACTGAGAGTTAATTCTGCTAAATGTAGCTTAATCGTATCATGCAGATTTTTACCGTCATACTTTGGTTCTAGCAAGTACTTTTTAAGATACTCTAGACAATCCTTCAACCCAGGCAAATTAAGATTAAATTTTCTGACCCAGGAAATTAACATCCTCAGTATAGCAGCTGGAGAATTAATGACTCCGGCGTCCCTGTTTCAAAGACAGATCCTTTTAGTGATATTTATGCAAATGGTTTAAATCAAACAAGTTTTACCTACGTACACTTGGTAAGAAAATTGCTGGATCTCCATCCTTGCTTCATCAGGAATAGAGATTTTGAAATCCTCTTCAGCAAGCAGAAGTTGGCTTTTCTCATCTACTTTGAAAGGGGATTGTTCTCCCCTATTCGTAAAGATATTTGAACTCTGCTCTTCATAAAACTTAACAATATCTTTTGCTGCAAACAGAGGCCGTTTCTTATCGTTCGGAGCAGTAAGCATAGCTGCTATAAGGCCTCCCGTGCTCGCCCCAGCAATGAAATCAAAATAATCTGCAATCCTCGCGTCCTTCTTGTCCACATCCAACTTCTATACACACACACACAGAGCAAAGTTTGTAATTAGGATATCACAACTATAATCAGCATTTTTGAGGACTAAGTATATATAAAGTTTTAGTGTGTATCGGATTAATCAAACGAAAATATAATCAAGCAGCCATATATATATATATATATATAGAAAATAAACCTGGAGCTTTGATTCAAGAACCCTGAGGACTTCACTAGGAATGATGCCTCTCACTCCTCCTCCGTCAATGCTAAGGATTGTGGTAACGCCTTCGTGATGCTCCTTAGCACTGGAACCTCCGTTCCCTACAAATTTAACCAAGATCATAACAAGAACGATATATATATATATATATAGCAGGTAATAGTGTCAAGTCATAAAATTGTGCAACAAAATATAATTAATACTCCATTATAATACTAATTAAGAATCTATGAAATGCTAGCTAGATTGAGCGTAGCATTAATTAAGGGCTCACCCATCTTGTGAAAGCTGAAACAATATTATAACCTTTAATTTGGTTAAGTGAGTGTTCCTGCTTCACTACCACTTGAGGAACAAGGGATCCTAGCTCAACCCCCCTTTATAGAACAATTGACGGTGATCCAGCAACGTGAACAAGAAAAGATTTATCTTTACCTCAGGTCGTAAAAAATAAGAGTTTAGATAGATACTGTCAAAGATTGCATGACCTATGCTTCGGTCGAACAGATCATATATCCTGCAATTCTCTGTTTTATGTTTGCTTTTCCCTTGGCAGCTTTTGCAGCAGTTTTGTTTCTTTCTCCAGGTTACTAAGTTGGCTCTTTTTAAACGCTTTAACCACAACTACTGTAACATATTTAGAGTTTAATATACAGAACCCACTCTGTGTCGAATTCATCCAAACACAAATTTCTACATGGTATCAGAGCCATTCTAAGATTAACAACCAAAGTGTATGCTCTTTTTTTGTTCCTTTGTCTCCACACTGCCACTGCCATTATTTCAAAACTTGTCCCAAGCCATTCTTCCAACTCCAACAAATCCCGTGACCTGCCACTGTCATTATTTCAAAAACTCCACCAAATCACCATTCTTTCAACCCCATTACCTTCTCCTGCTATTATTTCAAAACTCTTACCTAGCCATTCATTCATCTCCCCCTGGGATTTAACAGCCAACGTATAAGCCTCTTCTCCTTTCTGTTTTTTTTTTTTTTTTTGGTCCTTCCAGACATGGCAACTACACCAGAAGGTGTTGAAAATTTTCATTTCACTGCCTCAACCCACACCATTCCTTCCTCTCCTTCTCTTCAAGTCCGAATTATTAGGTAAGTTCTCTCTCGCTCGCTCTTGTTAATCGTTAGTTATTTTTATAATTATGACGTTAACTTTAAATTTAATTGGTCAATTTATAATTTTGTATAGTTTTAATTGTTAATTTTTTATTAATTTGTTAAATTGTTATTTTTATTAATTGTTAGGTTAATTTGTTAATTAATTATTAGTTTGATTTAGGTTTAATTAATTAATTAGGTTAATTTTCATTAATTGGTTGATTTGATTTAGGGTTAATTAATTAATTAGGTTAATTTTCATTAATTGGTTGATTTGATTTAGGGTTAATTAATTAATTAGGTTAATTTTTTTAATTGGTTGATTTAATTTATGTTTAATTAATCTACTAGGTTAATTTTGATTAATTGATTGATTTGATTTAGGTTTAGTTAATTAATTATGTTAAATTTGATTAATTATTAATTTGTTGATTAATTTATCTGTTGTTGGTCTCAATCCCTATTTTTACTCCTATTTCCCTTCTTTTTCCATTTCTTCTCCTTCAGCCTCTCCTCTCTAGCCCTCGGCACCTCCCCCACCTCAAAACTGCCACATTAGTGCAGCCTCCACTCCCCATCAACTCACACCTACTTCAAACACTTTCTCCCTAAAAATTCATCGTTTTTCCTTCTTTCCTCTCCTTCTCTTCAGGTCCAAAATATTAGGTAAGTTCTCTCTTGGTTTTTTTTTTTTTTTTGTTAATCATCAGTTATTTTTACAATTATGAGGTTAATTTTGAATTTAATTGATTGATTTATAATTTTTCTATAGTTTTACTTGTTAATTTTTTGATTAATTTCTTAAATTGATATTTTTTTATTAATTGTTAGGTTAATTTATTAATTAATTATTAGTTTGATTTAAATTTAATTAACTAATTAGATTAATTTTTATTAGTTGGTTGATTTGATTTAGGGTTAATTAATTAATTGGTTAAATTTGATTATTTTTTATTTTTTTAGTTAATTAATTAGGTTAATGTTGCTTAATTGATTGATTTGATTTATTTTTAATTAATTAATTAGGTTAATTTTGATTAATTGGTTGATTTTATTTAGTTTTAATTAATTAATTAGTTTAAATTTGATTAATCTATTGACTCGGTTTGGTTTAATTAATTAATTAGGTTAGATTTAATTAATTATAAATTTATTTATTTATTTATTAATTGTTAGGTTAATTTTTTAATTAATTGTTAGTTTGATTTAGGTTTAGTTAATTAATTAGGTTAATTTTGTTTAATTTGTTGGTTTTTAATTTTGTTTAGATTGGAAATTGTTAATTAATTGGTAGTTAAATTTAATTAGCTTTAAATTAGGGTTAATTTGATTTATTTTTAAATTGATTAGGTTTGAATTAGAATCAATTAGGTTAATTTGATTTTGATTTAATTAATTAATTAGGTTAAATTTGATTAATTAGTTGATTTTTAATGTTATTTATATTGAAAATTTTTAATTAATTGTTAGTTAAATTTGATTTGGTTTGAAATAAAATTAATTAGGTTAACTTAATTTAGTTAAATTAATTAATTAGGTAAAATTTGATCAATTATTTGATTTGCCGAATCGTTAGTTAGAGTCCAACAAAATTCAAAACCATTTCGGGATGATGATTCGAAAATGCAACATAATTTGATCCAAGAAGATGGTGAAGAATAGTTGTCAAATGATCTAATTGGATCTTTTATAGATATAGAAGTAATTGACGGTAATGAAGAAGATGAAAGTAAATATGTATCGAATCGACTAGGGGAGAGAAAAACTTAGAAGATGATTATGATAATTGAAATTAAGGATCAATTTCATTTGTCGTATTCATTAAATTATATTATTTTTTCTATTATGCATTTTATCGTGTTGAATTTTGGTGTTTTTAGTAATAAGAGAATATCTAATTTATAAGGGAGATTATGATGAATTTTTATGAAAATAATTTATAATATATTTTTAATCAAATTATTATTGATTTGTTATATTTATTAAACTATTTCGGATGTTATTCTAAAGTTATGCCGGATGAATTGGATAGATCCGACCGCAATGTTAGTGGTTGTGGCTCGTTAGTGACAACGTAGGTGGACGTGGTACTACTAGTGCTAGTGTCCGGGGTCATGGACTAGATAGTGGCATTGGCACGTCAACATCCTTGCCGGTAGTGCCCTCGCTAGTAATGCCCCCGCCGATAATGTCCTTGGCCGCGAGATATCCCTACATCGGTTTCCTTAGCTCTAAAAAGTTCCGTTGAATCTAATTCTAGATGAACTATTTAGGTCGTAAATAAATGATAAGTAATATATTTTACATATGATAATTAGTTTTATATTTTTATATATTATATTAGAATCATCAATTCACTTTTTTTTTGACATCTTGGTTTTGTCAAGTAAGTGCTCCGTAAAAATCACCGTAATTTCAAAAAGCGGTTGGATGACGTTAGCTCCACATAAAAGTCTCGTCTCTATAGAGATGAAAGACTTTTATTTTAATCGATTTAGAATAACATATTAATTATTTACTTATATTTCATTTCAAGTATTAATTTAACATGAAATGTACTAATATATATATTTTTTTTGTTCATGCGAAGTAATTTTTATGAGATGCGGCTATTGACACACCGATTAAGGATGCGTGGGAGTCCGGCATGAAGGCGGTACAATGATATGCTAAACAAGCTAAAGAATAGGAATGACATACCCATATTTGTTAAAAAAGCATGTGTGGGGAGCATGACACTAGCATTGGGTCAAACCCGAGTTTTACATCCGATTTCGACAAGCGTCCTAAAACCACATTTCGGAGATGGATGGTGTCGGTGCTAGCCCATCCATGCATAGCGGGTTCATCTTTTTTATTAAACATGTTGAACACTTGGTAAATCCTATTATCCATTATATTATAAATTAATTTTTTTATTTATTATATCTCATGTAATTTTGTCTATTTTTTTAACATAATAAATTAGATTGTAACCGAAATTTTTACGAGTTGTTCATAACCACTTACAAGTAGAAAGATGGATCATTTGTCGATAGGCGAGTCTTAGACGAGTAATGGTAAGTTTTTTATTTTTATAAATATTAAACTATAAATATAATTTAAAAAATATATTTATGATTTAATATTATAATTATTTTAATAATGCGAGAGTGCAGCGAGTCAATGCAAGAAAAAGCGAGTTAAGGAGTAGCAAAAGGGTGATTCATTGTTTCCAAACGTCGATATTTTCAAGATATATTTGAATGCTATAGGAGGGAAGAAGAAGCGAATAATGTATGGCCTTGGATTATAGACTTCCTAGTATTACTCCCATTCTTTCATCAACTCTTTCTCTCGCCACTTCACGATATCCCGTTGGTAATAACTTAGAGGTTTTTGACGAGTTTAAAGATAAGATCAAGAGAATGAAAATTACCATCCAATAACAAGTTAGTCAAGTTAGCACCATATAGAGTTAATTGTAGACAATGATGGGGTTGTTACGGAACCGCAATAGACTCACGTCCCTCTTTCGATCCCTCACAATCTAGGAGTCGGTTGTTCCTCTCAATACACAACAGCTTGGAAGATGATGCAGGAGATGATGAAGATTAGATTTCTAGTTTTTTAAAAGGTTTTTAATGATTTCTTTCACCTTAACACATTTATATATTTATTTTATTTTAATTTTATTAAATAATATATCATATTTTAATAAGGTGTTATTTTTAGTTGTTTGTTACTACCATTAATATTAAATAGCTATTAATTTATATTTTTTTCTTTGTTTAGCTACGAATTTGCAAGAAACTTCAACGAGAACAATTTAGTGAAGAAAATTCTATCCCTAAATAGCCAAAGAAATTGTGAATTAACAATAGTTTTGCGATAAATTAGAGACTTTGAGAGACGACTATTTACTACATTTTAGCAACGAAAACTACAATGGTTGCAAAATAATGAAAGATTTAGCGACGGATCTATAAGGAACTTTAGTGAGAAAATTTTACCGATGGAACGTTCGTCGTTAAATAGCAACAAAAATATCCAAATTAGCGATAGTTTTGCAACAAATACAAGATCGTAGATACAACTTTTTACAATGCTTTAACGATGAAAATTCAATGCATTAGCAACAAATTATCCATCTTTGATCAGCGGCAACTAATTTTTTTCGTCGCTAAGAAAACAATGACGATCGCTTTTGTTACGAGAATGTCTTTTGTCGCAAATTCATTGCTAAGTACAAATAGCGACATATTTTTACTATATAGCAAAAAAATCCATCGCTATTTTTCAGTTTTCTTGTAGTGCAAACTATTGAGTAAGCATTCATGAATCACTTATGTCACTCTCTAACATACATAAGATACCAAGTATCGATAAAATTAATGCACAATGTGCCGAATAAAGAAATCTATATTAATCCTAAGTGGCACCCCCTAATACCTTCATTCTACCTTACATAATTCACGAATTTCCTATTTATAAATGATTTGGACTTTAAAAAAGAATCTAAGCTAATTACACCGTTTCTTGTTCTTAAAAAAGAATAACATAATATGAGTCTTCAAACTTGCTAGTTAAGTTTAAATCTTTTAAATTAAAACAATAACAAAAAAGATAAAGATCTTAAATAAACAAAATCCAATCTTTTCCATAAAAATTAATAATTAGATATAAAAATATATAATTTTTTATTAATAAATTCATATAATAATATAGCACCAACGTCAACATATTCGGCAAGGTTTGGTGATTGAAGCACCCTACAAGACTTCGATACATCCACCTCTAACTTTATAGCGTTTTTATTCATTCTACGTGTACATATAATAGCATGCATTGTTCCATGTGTACATACGAACCCTGAAAGTAAATCAACGTCTTGTACACATATTTATATTTATTTGGATGAGTATATGGCTAGGCAAAACTATTTTGTCTGAAGTAGAGACATTCAAGAGTCGATGTGGGTCCATTAGTTCTTCGTTAAAACAAAAACAGACAAAAAGAAGAAGATATAAATCTTAAAATAAAGAGAGAGAGAGAGAGAATGAATTCTTCGAATATAGAAATTATATAGATGAACAATGGTGATGCTTTAATCTAACAAGAGATTTCAAACTTATGATTTGCGTTTAAATCTTACAAATTGAAAAAAAAAAAAAAAAAAGCGCGACATAAAACAAGAAAAAAAAATCATATCTTCTTGATGAAAAAAAATTAATAAGATATAAACTATCTCTAGTTTTTACTCATAAATTCGTATAATAATAGCAGCAGGACTTAACATATTCGGCAAAGTTTGGTGTTTGAGGCACCGTACATGACGTCTATACATTCGTCTCTATCTTTGTAGTCGTTTTTTAGCCATTCTACGTGTACATATAATCGCATGCATTGTTTCTAGTGTACATATGTACGTATGTTGGCAGTAAATTCACGTTGCGGACGCATATTTAGGTTTACTTGGGAGAGTACATGGCTAAACAAAACTATTTTGTTTGAAGTGACACATTCAAGAGTCGATGTGGATCCATTGGTTCTCATGTAACTAAAACAAAAAAAGACAAACCAAGGATGCAAAGTGCAAGTTGATCTGGGGGGCATGCTCCTGAAGGAAAGTTCTTGGTTCAGACTGCCTACATGTCAGCTAGATTACTATCAGGGCCTATTCCTGAAGGGTCTTCTAGCACCTCCTCCCCGTTGTGGAGGACAATATGGTGATTGGCTGTTCCCTAGAAAATCAAAGTGTTTTTGTTGCATCCTTGTGGAAATGTTTTGCCCACTAAACTAAATCTTTCCAGGAGGAATGTCTCCATGGATGATTTATGTCCCAAGTGTCCTGTTTCCCCTAAAAATACTGCCCATGTTTTGATTTCTTGGGCTGCGTTGGTACAGCTTTGGGGTAAGGCAGGTGTAGAGAATTGGCTTCTGGAAGAAGGGATGGATCTAGTAGACAGGTTGTGGTATAAAATGCAAGATTCAAATCTGTCGTCTATGGAGAGGCTGGTTTATTTAATCTGGCTTTTGTGGAACCACCGCAATGGGACTGTCTTTGGGGCAGAGCAATGGAGCTTGCATCACTTCCAGCAAGGGCTGGGGAATTATGTTCAGAATTTCTAAGCGTGCAGAAGACATCAAAGCCTCCTTTAGTGACCAAGTCCTCAGATGGTACAGGGCCTCAACTCTTTTTGATCTGGATAATGCTCTCAATGGCAATATTCTAAAGGACACTAAAGATCTTACGAACCGATTTAATCGTGCTTTTGCTTTACATAGTTGCAAGAGTTGTGATCAGGTGGCTTATCTCCTATCAAACGTGCCCTTGATAACAAGGGAGAGACTCTGGGGCTAGAATCTAAAGATACTGTGTATAATTAGGAGTTTAAGAAAATTTCTCGATCGCCATCGGGCCATATGATATTGGAACCTTTTGAAATCTATAAGGTAAGCATTGGAAAATCTTAAACTATAGGACTGAAGTGGACATTAGTAACTCTACGAGGGCCAAAAATATATTATCCTTTACTTTGTTAGAATGAAGAGAAAGGAATTCGTATCTTGAATGAGGTTGCCTGGATGGAATGTAGACATCTGATTATTTAGAAGAGGCAGTAGAAGGGAACTTGCGTATGTAGAGGTGGAATGTGCAATAAGGACCCAACAAATAATAAGATTAAGGGGTTGATATTATTGTCAGAAAATGCAATGGTTTGAATTTTCCTCTTTACCTTGTTCTCAATGCAAGTTCTTGTCCTCAAATTCTGCAAGAACAGTACCTTCTGATTCTAATTCTATATTGAAACATATAACATTAAACATCCATAAAAGCTTTCTCTGCATCAGTGGCAACATAGAAACATCAATTACTTTAGAACATTGCTGCTTATTTTGTTTTGTTCTCTTTTACAGTTGTGAGCCAGCAGTTTCAAGTTCTAACTCAAAATGAGTAGCTAATTCCCCACCCCTTAACCACATGAGGCAACGACAGTCGAACTTGATTTGCTCTTTTCTGCACAATAAGGTTTTAATTTCATACAATTCGCATTATAACTTCTCAACAGAACTCAATAAGAAGCCGAGTCTGAAGTGCTAGTCTCTGATGTTGAAGTTGCTCACAGAATTCCTTTGTTTGTCCAGCTATGCTTGCGAACTTTACGTTGATATCAGTTGTCAGCACTTAAGTTACTGACCTCCATTTATTTTACAAGTCCAAAAACATCGGAGAAACTAGAACCCATCGTTTGGATATCAGCAACATTCTACTCGACATATAAATTATCAGCCAGACATACTAGCTAGGCGATGTTTTCGAATAGCCGACCATTTTCTAGCATGTCTGCACAACACCAGTGCAGAGGCAGTAATAAATTAGGCAAATGACTATTAGAAAGCTTGTCGCAATTCTAATTAAACAGCTGATAGAACTACAATTACACAAATCAGATTACCTTGCTCTTACTTTTGGAGTTTGGATCATCCTTTTCCAAGAGATCTTGGAGCCTTTCGAATAAAATTAAGAAAAGAAAAGCTATGATACACACATCACTCAACTAAATAAGCAACAAGCTCATAAAATACACAAATGTCGTATGGATACATGTCTTTGTGGCAGGGTTGCCATCAAATATCAGACTACAGTAATGACAACAGCAAAAAAGTACGAATCCTGCCTGACATCCTGTGCCTGAGTGTGTGTGTGAGTGAGAGAGAGAGTGTGTGTGTTAAAAACCCTGCCATGAAAGAGCAGATGCATAACAAATTAGCAAAGACAAAACCATTAAATGTTAATTGATCCTACGCATACAAATGTAATAGAAAGGAAGCATACTTACATGCAAAAATTCAACGAGTAGATTATAAGGCTGAAGCTTTCTAATTGCAGTGTTATTTTGATTTGTGGTTGCTCCCAACATTTAGTTGTAAGCAGGATTTGTGAGAAAAAGAACAGGAGGATGTTTCAGCAAATAAAAAGAGAATAAACACTGATTGGTGAAGTATAGAACACTCCTTGATCCATTTCAAGAAGATAACTAACACATGAAACTACATATGAGGCTAAACTCCTGAAATTGGGCACTGAAAAGGACTGAAATCCTTGCTGATATGGCATGTCAAAGAAGCTCATTAAGTTTTATAGCTGTCCTTTGTCCTCCGAATCTGCATCTTCTGACATGCAAGCTCTAAGCACTGATGTATTCAAGAATCATACAGTACTCTGAAAAATCTAATCGAACGGACAGATCACAATGGTTGCATGGTATGCATCAGAGATATGTTTGCTACTCCTAAGAGGAAAAAATGAGAGAGCAGAAAGACACCTAAGCTGAAAACTCAAACCAAATATCAGTGCCAGAACTTTGTATCACAAAAATCAAACTTTGCCAACTAAATAGATTTTTTTTCTTTTCTTTTTTGAGCTTTAGAATGTCCAACAAGAGCAGCTTAAACTGTACTTACAGTCAAAAAGTAAGCATACAAGAGCACAACTTTATTTCTGCTTATCCCCAACTTTTCTCTTTTGCACTAATTGGCAGCATTCAAGAACAGAGAAAAGAGATGTTCTGCATGACCTCAGCTGCAAAAACATGAACCGCAAAGCTATATGATATTTGGATGATAAAAATGGTTTTATAACATTCAATTGTCAGGACATCATTTTAGCATGTAATATGAACATCAAGATACGGAAATCTTAAAGGAGAATAATGAATGAAATCTTAATCATTATGTATCACAAATTACATATAGTACAAAAATGAGTTGCCTCATTACAAATAACACAGTAGAGTTTTAAGGCAGCTTCCTAGTTTTGACAATAAAAAGGAAAGCAGTAACCTGAAATATGAATCTGATGTTCAAGTTTTAAGCATATTAGCATCATACAACACCGTGTATTAATCTCCATATAATCAAAAGTAAAATGGAGTTGCTAACTCACTGTGATTTCACTCCCAATCCTCATCACTTATTTGATCATCCGTCTCTTCCCTTGGTGGCCTAACGACCAGCACCACAGTCCCTAAACTCTCCACCGCATTCCTTTCCTTCAACGCCGAACCCCTTTCAACCTTAAATTCACCACCAGCGCTGTCAAGAGTAACCAAATAAAACCCGTCATCTGCTTTCACTTCCTTTCTCCCCCTATCAGCAACCACCAAAACAGACTCCTCTTTATACCACCTATTCGCCTTCCATGGTAACGCCCTAGCGTCTGGAAAAGCCACCACCACTCCTCCTCTATCCAGCCCCACCACCGGTTCCCACCCTGGCAACACCACCCATCTTTCCCACCCTTTCTCTGCCACCACCACACCAAACTCACCCTTGCCACTACACTCCCACGGTGCTTCCAGAATTTTTCTTTGCCCCTCCTCTGCTCTACATACGGGTAAAACCACAACTCTGCTCGCCTCCGCAACCTCACCAAGCTTCAACCTCACAACCGGAACCGGAACCGCAACTCCTAATTCCTCTTCTTTCCTTTCCTTCCCTTCTCCCTCTCCTTCTAACTCGTTCAAAATCGCACTCTTCGCCTTTTCAGACTCTGCAGCCTCTAATGCCAACTGTAGAGCATTAGTCCTTGGCTCTGACGGATTCTTATGCTCTCTAGACTGCCTGTAGTACATAAACGAGAGGCAGTCTCCTGGCAGAGTATAATCAAAGCTCTCCCAGGACTTTTCCCCGCGCCGACGAGGAAAATCCTTTATGGCGCGGGCCAAATCCTGAGCACCCTTAGCATCCATCCTTTTAAGGACGATGAAGCGGGCAGCTGCAGTCCGCTGCGCAGCGCTGAGAAGACGAATTTCATACAACAACTCCGCGCCACCAATGTCAAATGAAGCAACAATTTCTGGGTCAATGTTAGACTGAATTAAAGAATCCCTCACTTTAGCTCCAACAACTAAACGGTTCTGCTCAACCCCAGAAATACCAGTAGCTTCTTCTAATGATGGAGGAGTGAAACCTTCTTGGAACAAATAAGGGATTAAAGGGGCATACTCATACCAAAGGCCAAGACGATTAGCAAGGATTTCGAGACGGGAAGAGGTGTCAAGAGACTTGTACTGAGAGGGGAGAGGAGAAGGTGGAGGTCTAAAGGGTTGATAGAGTTGTTGATTAGAAGGAGGTGGAGAGGAAGGGATTAGAGTGGCTGATACTGTTGTGGTGGGTTTTAGAGGGCTTTTAGAGGAGTGGAGGATAAAGAGAGGTTGGCTAATGAAAGGAGAGGATAGGGGTTTGTTGTTAAGGTTTGAAAGGAAGAGAGGCTTGTGGGTGTTTAGAGTTGGAGAAAGCATGGTGAAGGAGTGAGAGGAGAAGTGATGGGTGCTTGAGGAAGAAGAAGAGATGCCTTATCTGAAGATAGTTTTTGGCAGTTGATATTCCCAAGGGAGGGGAGAGTGGGAAAAGTAAAGGAGAGAATTTTGTTGTGTTTGTGGGTTGGGCCTTGCAAGTTGGAATCTTAGTGGGACTGGAAATTTGGAATGGGCCTTATTGCAAATGGGTAACTATTTTGTAGGTTTTAAGCTACAGAGAATTGATACTTCAAAAAACTATCAAGTCCATATTGGAAATGGGTATAATCTTAAATTTTATGGCTTCGAATATTTTAACTATTTAACTAAATATAATTTTACTTCAAACATTTTTTTTGGATCCCCATAACATCGCTGTTCGGTCAAGTATACACGATAAATATAATTATTTAAATTTTTTTTATATATTAATATTTAAATTCGATATAATCTGTTTAAATAGTTAGAACTATTTTTTGCTGAAGTCACTCTTTTTGAGTTTTATTTCAACATTTTTAATCAATTTTTATAATTTATAATTATTATAAAATGTAAATTTAAATTAAGGCAATATAATGTTGATAAATGATCATATTCTTATGTAAGAGGTGTGTATATATATATATATATTCAAAAATTTTAAATTAAAAGAAAGATGGGTAGCGCTAATTGAATTTGAAAAAGAAAAAAAAACGAGATTACGAAGGATCCTTTTATAATTTTCAAAATCATTTCCAAGATAATTTATCTTAGATACCCAAATTTATTTATAATTGTCATAAAATATAAATAATATAATCTCTACCTTTTCTTTAATAATTTCATATGTTTTTACAATAGATTGATTTAAATTAAGAGAGGGTGCGATTCAGAGGCTAAAATTATAACTTTGACCAATATGTATTCAAAAGTTTTGTTTTTCAATTGCAACATTAGTCACATGCAGCTAGGTTTGACTTTAGAATTTTGAGATATTACATTGGTTCCAAAATTTTCATGTTTATTTGTGGAAAATATTTTATTTTTTCATAAAAGAAATATTGAAAAATGTATTTACTAATTGAAAACGAAATCTATCTTTTTAGGATAAGTAGAGCTTCTTATTTTAATCTAGACGCTGGTTAGTTCGCTTGTTATTTAATCTTTTATCATTTATTATATTAATAATATATTCAAACAAAATATTCGTTTTCTGTTTTAAAAAAAGTGTCAGTTAGTAAAAACATTTTTATAGAGAAGTAACTTTACAGTAAGAATGAAAGTAAAGATGAAAATATTAAAAATATGTTTTATTTTAAGAAAACGTATTTGATCATCTCTTTTCTTAAATTTCTTAGGGATATATTTTAGGAGCCGTAGCTTGGATTTTAAATGGATTTATTCTATATTATTATTCATAGGATTGTTTTAATATTTAGATAATGTACTTTTCGATTTTTTTTAAATCTTTTTTTTACTTTATTAAGACCATCTATTTTTCAAAATTTTTTACTTTAAATTTTTCGTTATAACATCACCAATTAGTAATTAATACGTAACATTTTAAAGTAAAAAAATCTCAAACACTTGTCGTTTACTGATTGGTGGTGTTACAATATACGATCCGAAGCAAAAAATCTCAAAGAGTACAGGGTTTAGAAAAAAATAAAAAAATAAAAATTCTCAACAAAAAATTTGAAAAGTATAAAAATATATTTTTGTAAATATATCAATCTTGGTACGTTTCAATAAATTATTCCAGGATGCTCGTATCCATTAAAAACAAACAAATAAATAATAGTTGTTTTGCTTTTTTCTTTAGTAAATGTAGATTACGAATTCGAAAATGGAGGGATACAGACTTTGTAGTGTGTGGATTCCGAGGACACAAGATACTGACCGGTTTAAATCCAATTAATCTTTCAAAAATCAGTTGGTGTTGAGTGCACATGTAGTTTATTTCATATCAATTATAAAAAGATGTGTTTATAAGTTAAGAATTTAGGTTTTTGATTGAAAAATATTATTTGTCATTGCATTTAAACTTTTGTGTACGTAAACCTGATATGGATGCAAAATTCCTTGCATTTGTCCACACACAAGTACATCTCTAACAAATTAGTATTAGAGCCAATGGTTCAGTTTAAGACAAATGACTACTAGACTCTAAAACCATTTTAGTTGATTCCAATGGTTATTTGGTCCATCATTAGTTAGATATTTATGCAACGTTACGATAAAACAATCATTGCATATGTAAAATTAACGATTCATATGATGTAGTGTAAGTAGAAGTTTTTTTTTTTTTTTTTATGGTTAATGTAAATCAAATCTATATATTGAGTGAAATCATTTGATTTATATATATTTATTAACAAAAGTTAATAATATTAGAATAAAAATTTGTATTTAAATAACTGGGACGCTCTTTCAAAACATTATGTAACTTATTTTATTTAAAAAATAAATATTAAAATATTAAAAAATAAATAACAAATAATTGGTATTATGTATGTAGATATATAGTTAATTTCTAACAAAATTAATTATACACACGTATATATATATATATATATATGATTTAGAGTATATAGAATAAATAAAAAACTATATATAAAAAAACACCTAAACCGTATGAAATATATTGAAGACAACATATTAAAATAAAAACTATAATAAAATTGATTTTGATAAATTCTGAATATATATATATATATATATATATATATATATATATATATATATATATATATATATATAACAAATAAAACTTGTGAATTCTTTTCACCGATTATTAATTTAAAAAAAAAAGTCAAACTATCTAAAACATACCTCTCTCTCTCTCTCTCTCTCTCTCTCTCTCTCTCTCTCTCTCTCTCTCTCTCTCTCTCTCTCTCTCTCTCTCTCTCTCTATATATATATATATATATATATATATATATATATATATATATATATATATATGTGTGTGTGTGTGTGTGTGTGTGTGTATAGATATATGTATATATGTATGTATATAATCGAGTTTATAAATTATAATATTATATTTAAAAAAATAAAAAAACTCATTTAAAAAGCAAAAAAAAAAATTGTATAAATTATAATAATATATTTTTAAAAAATAAAACACTAAAGTTTTAAAATTTTATTTCAAAATTCATCTATTAAAAAATTAAATTTATTAACAAAAAAAATTATGTCAAAAAATTAATTTGATGAGAATTTTAATAAGAAAAAAATAAATTTAAACAATAAGAGTAATATAATAAGGTATATATATTTTATCATCTTCAAATTGTAAGTAAAACTAAAAAAATAACAATTTATTTTTGATATTTTTTACACCTAATTTCATTATATATATATAACAAATAAAACTTGTGAATTCTTTTCACCGATTATTAATTTTAAAAAAAAATGAGTCAAATTATCTAAAACATACCTCTCTCTCTCTCTCTCTCTCTCTCTCTCTATATATATATATATATATATATATATAATCAGAATTTATAAATTATGATATTATATTTTAAAAAAATAAAAAAATCATTTAAAAAGCAAAAAAAAATTATTGTATAAATTATAATAATATATTTTTAAAAAATAAAACACCGATGTTTTAAAATTTTATTTCAAAATTCATATATTAAAAAATAAAATTATTAACAAATAAAATTATGTCAAAAAATTAATTTTATGAGAATTTTAATAAGAAAAAAATAATTGAAAAAATAAATTTAAATAATAAGAGTAATATAATTAGGTATATATATTTTATCATCTTCAAACCGTACGCAAAACTAAAAAAATAACAATTTATTTTTTATATTTTTTACACATAATTTCATTATATATATATATATATATATATATATAGAGAGAGAGAGAGAGAGAGAGAGAGAGAGAGAGAGAGAGAGAGAGAGAGAGAAAAAGGCCGTGCGTCCGGTTGGCTCGTGAAACCCGGTTGGCTCGGATGCATATATATAGAAAAAAATAAAAAACAAAAAGGCCACGCCCGGTGGCTCGGGCTATTGATCAACCCAAAAAACATAAAAAAACCCCGTAACTTCCGACGAACTTGAATTCATCGAAAACTTCATCGAAATATCGAAGGTCAAGTTTCAAATCCCTAGGAATTGAATTTCAACATCATTTGTTCCCCCAAACACCTCTAAATGATTGAAATAAAGTCAATAAATACATCTAAAATCTTAAAAATCATTTTAATGTATACCAAAACAAAGAAAAACACACAATCAAATCAGAATTTTTTTTCCTCTTTTGGCTCCGATCTACCTCCACCGATTGTTTAATAGTCTAAAACCATCATCGACAAACTCATCTCTCAAAAATAAAAAAATTTAATGGATTTTCACCGGTTAAAGTGGCTTAAATAAGCTTAGCTAGCGATCTCTCTCTCATCTCGTCTCTCTCTTCCTCTCTCCTTTCTCTTGACATCTAGAGACCAAAATGGATGAGCAAATGAAGATATAGATCGAAATATTCGTTCAAAAATATCAAGGACCAAAGTGAAAAAAAATTATATAATTTTCACCCACCAAAATCCAAAAAATTATAAAAAAAATCATCCACAATGCACCGAGTTTAAGGTAAATAATAAAATGTTTACTTCTTTTAGTTACATAGAACGATAGAGTAATAAGAGTTAGGGGTGAGCGGACGGTTAAACGGTTCGGTTAAGCTTAATTCGATTTGATTTTCCGTTAACCGAATTAGAAAAAATGAAAACCAAAATCGAATCAAAATTAATTCGGTTAATTCGGTTTGTAACCAAATTATTTCGATTTGGTAATGAAATAATTCGGTTTTAATCGAACTTTTGTTCGTTGTGAAATACACACACACACACACACGGATATATATATATATGTATATGTATATGTATGTATGTATGTATGTATGTATTTATGTATGTATCTAATTAAGCATTCTTAGTCCGCAATTCAAAACTCAAAAACGAGTATTATATTCATACTGCCGACTTTTGTTGTCATAGTTATAAAAACAATAAAAAGGTAATCTCGTAAAACAATAAAAAGGTTAGAAACAAGTGCAATTTTGAAAAAGAAAAAGCAAGCGAGAGACAAGCAAAATCATGTAGTTAGGATTTTATTGAACAACCATACCTTTTAAACCTTAATCGAAAAAAAAACAAACGAAAGGTCCGGAGCCGCAATGGTATGGCAAGTGTCATACATAAGCTTCATGTAGGCAACTCTAAATACACTTGGAATACAACGAGCACTCAAAAATCCCAAAAACCAACGTGCCAATTCGATTATCTCGATAATGAATCAACCGGACTAATTTAAATCGGACGATCCATACATGTGTCAAAGAATTCAACACCGATATGGATAAATAACAAAACATAAATCTCTCGCAAGGCAAGCATGAGGGAGAAAGCACGAGAAAAAGTCATAAAACAATTTTGTCATAACACAAGTCTCCAAGAGAATGCGACGAAGCACGTAAAAAATCTCACATACAAATTTGTTATCAACATTCAAATCTCGGGTGATCCTTAATTTTCTTGTAACCGAGTGCCGGGTTGCCAACATGCTGCATCACCTGTCATGGCAACAAGAGATTTTTCCCCTTGTACACATCATATTTGCATATTAAGTCATGGAAACCATATGACAAAACAAAAGTGACGAGAAGATAAATGGTTTGTGCATCTAGCGACAAGAGATTTCTCCGTGCCATAGTTTTCCGAACATAGAAACCCAAATCGTTCCATTACTTCATTTGCATAAGGCGAAGGCAAAAGCACCGAAGGCACTAGGCGAACAGTAATCGGACGCACGTCACGCACCGAGTGAAATTATGTAAGAAATTACCGAAAAAGCAAAGGCCCGAATTGAAGGAAGTGAAAAGGAAATATGAGTGACAAGGGTTGCTTCGTTGTGACTTTTGACTTGTGAGGGGTGACGAGTGAGCAACCGGAGCAATGGAGCCGGGAGGACCAACTCGGAGTGGAGAGTGGAGAAAAAGGGAATGAAACCAAGAAGGTTTGGGAAGAAGATAGAAGTATTGAGTAGTGATGCTAGTGAGACAATGAGAAGAATTGAAGAAGTGAGTTTCGGTGTTAAGATTCTTAAGAAAGTCGAAGGAGAGAGTGAGAAATGAGATTGAAGTGTGTTTGTCACTTAGGTCTTAGGGTTACTCGGGTTAGGGATTTAGAAGTTAGAAATAGATTAGGAATTTTGCGATTTTCTTGGTTTTTGATTTGAATCGATTTTTTTTTAATAAAAACCGAACCGAATCAAAATAAAATTTGGTTTTTCGGTTCGATTATAAATTGTAAAATTTAAAATTCAAAATCGAACCATATTCCATAATTCGGTCCGATCGTATTTGATTTTTCGATTAATCGAATCGTTTGCTCACCGCTAATAAAAGCGTTTGATGTTATGAGTGTTGCCTTTAAATTGTTTAATAACTTTCGTTAGAGAGAGAGAGAGAGAGAGAGAGAGAGAGAGAGTGTTATGTTTCGATGTTTCTACTTATTGTGGTAGATTCACATGGTTCTTTAGTTAATCATGATTCCTCCATATTGTTTAAAATAACTATTATGAGAGGAAGAGTTTTGTCGAATAAATCAGATTTACATGCGAACTAGAAATTTAGTAAAAGCGTAAATGTCAATTGTAAATCCCACATTGATTAAAATTGAAAAAATAAAATGTTTATCAATAAGATAAATACATAATTAAATATTTTAGGCAATTGAATGAAATTGATGTTCATCATTACATACAGGATTTTCATTCAATACGATACAGCACGCTTTAAGTCCAGGCATACTAATTCTCGAAAGTCTTTCATTCGATAATTACAAAAAATACCAAAACAACACCTGAATTCACAGCATTCTGTGTGAATCGACTGTGGATTGAAGGAGGAGAATTTCGGTTTTATCCTAAGTACTTTTGTTCTTTACGTTTATATCCCTATTGCTTTCACTTTCTTCTTCCGGACAATGTTGTTGTTTAAACATTTCACTTCTTCCATCATTTAATACTTCTAGTTGTCGTTTTTGCTGACTTTGAATTTTTTCATCATTTTTCTCCTTTTAGCAGATTCAAATGCAATTAAAATGATCAAAATTAATAACTTTTCTTCTAGGCTATCTATTTATATATTTTTCTACCATATGCTTCTCAGTCAAAGACTTAAAATTTTACACCATTTTCTGCATTTTTTTTTATATAATTATAAATCAGTCTGTTTATATCTGTAAATAGATAAATTGTATGCCGAGCCAGATTATAGGCATCTCTTACATATACTCCTTGATGAATAATTAAAACTTTTAAATTATTTTAGACTTCAACAAACACTAATATTAACAATTTTTTTTTACCATCAAATTAAATAAAATTATATCAATAGATAAAAGACAACAATCCAATGAAAAGATTAACCGCAACGAAATGCGGACGAATACTGCTAGTTGTAAAAAAAGAACAAAATTTCATTCATAAGAAATGTCAATTACCTTCTACGTACGGTCTGGTACAATTTGCATGCTATTTAGGTCTAGTTGATTAGCTAACATACTTTACTATCACCAATTAAAAAAGTTTTAGCAAAAAATATTTGCAGTCGCTGTTGAAAGAATGCATACTTTAAAATAAATTTTATATGATGGATGAGAGAAATCATCTAGATTAGTCACGAAGCATATCAAAACGCATAAAATAATTTATTTGCCATGGGCACATGGTCTTGTTATGAACATTAATTTCTTTAAAATAATATACCTAAATTTAGGATGAACAGTTAAATAATATTTTTTATTTCTTAAAAAAAAATTATATAATTATTCTTGAATTTCGTATAAAAGTTTAAATTTTTTTATTGATATAATTGTTTGACATTATATTAAAGTCTGTTATCAAAATATTTCAAGTGAGGTGTGCGTTAGAGAATTAACATAAAACAATTTCGGATAAAATATTCTATGAAACGCATTTAACGTTTTATGTAAAATTCAAACATAAATTTTAAACTTAAACGAAACGACACCACACCCCCTCCCCTCTTCCCAAAACACACACACACACACATTAAATTTAATATTGATAAAAATAAATAATAATTACAAGCAACTGCATGGGGTTACGTGAAATTCCACAAATTAATATATTCATAAATAAAAAGTAATAAATTGTGCAAAATTACCAACCCATCAAATATTCTTTCTGTCTTGTAATTGCGCAAAATTATTGGTGTTACCTAGCCACCTAGGCATAAATAGTGTTATGAATAATTGTAATTCATTAAACATAGTTATTCTAGTCTGGCAAACTGACATCACAATAACCCGAAAAAGGAGTAGCTAGTTTTATAAATCCAATCTGGCGGCTCCATGCAAGGACCGGTGAGGATGAAACTAGCCAATTATTAGTTCTAAGTCATGGTCATATTTGGCAGCCGATTATATCTGGAATATTCTAGATATCACAGAATATATAATAGCAAAAAAATAAAAAAAGATTAAAACATATAATATCATATTCTTTATCAAAATAAATGATTGAAACATATAGTATCATAGTCTTAATTCCAAATTTGAAAACAATATTTTTTTTTATGTGATTTTGGTGTAAAACAGCATCGTTTTGACAATTTTTTTTAATTAATTATCAAAATGAAAGGAATTTTAATTTATCATATTGGTATCTAATTCTGAAGTTATTATAAATAGGTCTCTTCTCCTTTGAACCAGAAAGGATGATGAATTAGATACATGGGAAGCACCAAAATGCAATGAGATTTACGTGGTGTTTGATAAAATTAAAAATTAAGTATTAAATTTGTTAAGTACTGAGTTTTAAGTCTTAAATAATTTAGTATTAATTATATTATTGACAAAATGTTTGATATTTACTGAAAATTAAGTATCGAATATAATAAAGTCGTTTGATAAGTATTGTTATTGAACATATTACGGCTATATACATCATAATTTTAATCTTATAATTATAACGTGAAATTTTTTAATATAAATAAAAATATATATTTAGATATGTTTATGTATATAAATACATAAATAAAAATTTAATTAAAAAACAAGGTTGGTATGTCGGGCATTCGATCGGAAAATCAATGGAGTGTGCCCACAGGTGAAGGTGCGTTTGGTTTTTTTGGTCTTGCACACTTTGAGGGAGCAGTAGCGAAAAGGCTACTTTGCTATTTGCGTCCGCCTTTGCAGGGCTGCAAATTCCACTCACTAACGAAGTTGGTGAGGTTAGTACTGTTGCGAGATGAGTACTGTTGCAAGGGCCATCATGCTCCTCCATTAATTGGCCAATTCAGTATGAACTTCTTCTTCTGCAATCCCTTATTTATTATAATCATCTAAAGCAAATACAAAATCAAATCAATTTTGAAGCCCAACACAAATTTTTTGCTTCTCCCATTTATAATCGTACTTTTCTCCCAAACTAAAATCTCAAATATCATTAAAAAAAAGTTTTAAGTTAAATAGGGCTATAAAAATAAGGGATATTTAGAGATCGCTTCATTAAGCAAAGGAGAAAATTAGAAAACGTTTCTCAATCAGTTTACATAAATAAATTTATAAAAATATACGAGGGTTATATAGTTATTTAAAAATTTTTTAAAAATCTTTCAACTATACGTGTTAATTAAAAAGTTTTAAGTTAAAAACTTTAACTTATCTAATTAAATAGATTTTCATTGAATTTAAATTTTAAATATGAGATTATTTAGATTATCAAACAAACCTTTTATATTAAGTAATATAATTTAATTTTTAAATTACTTAAATAAGTTATTAAACATCTTTTAGTATAAAATAAAACAATCGATGATATAGATAAAGAAAGAAGGGTCTTTTGTTAGTGTCGAAGTACTTGTAGGTTTTTTTAGATTTTTTAGGTATCTCAAATTCAAAAATCAAATTATTTTCTTGTTATTTCGTGGAATGTACAATATGAAAATAAGTATTAAATTTTTTTATATACAAAAATTTTTTAAATAATTAGAAAATTTTCGCTTGAGCCAATTTTAATAGGTGATTTATAATTCTTGGGACAGTAAAAATACCACCCTTCTCTGTTGGGAACAGAAAATGTGGCCTTATGTCCTGTCAACCAAACCCGGCGCATTCCAGATTACAACTCAATTTTCCAAATTTTTTAAAACCAATCTATTTTTTTTAAAGAGACAGCTGTCTTCAAAAGTCTAAAGATTAAAATTAAAATTTAATGAATTTTCAAATATGTAAGATTCTGTTTTGTTTTCTCCTCTTGTCTGATAAATTTTCATTCTCTTCAGTGCCTCAAAAGTCTTTATAAAAACTTGTTATTAAGATAGTATCAAGCAAGAATTTCATAAGAAGTCTCTTCTCTTTGCTACATGCCGCAAGCCCAGAGATGGAGAACACCCACTTGCAACAAGATTTACCAGCACAAAATGGCTCAAACTATGACATAGAAAAAGAACTGAAAGCCTTTGATGAGTCAAAAGCTGGTGTTAAGGGACTTGTAGATGCTGGCATACAGAAACTCCCTCCTTTCTTTGTGGTACCAGAAAATGAAGTCTCTTCTATTGCGGCATCAAAACTGAGTGCAACCCATGTTCAGATTCCTGTCATAGACCTCAAAGACATCCATGATGATCTTATTCGACGCGAAAAGATCATCGAGGAAATACGAAGTGCTTCAGAGACTTGGGGGTTCTTCCAGGTTGTGAACCATGGTGTATCGAAGGAGATTATGGATGGAATGATTGAAGGAGTGAAGGGATTTCACGAGGAAAAACATGAAGTCAAAAAGGAATTTTATACGAGGGATGTGAAGAAGAAGGTGACTTACACTAGCAACACTCTTATTCATAAGACAAAAGCAGCAGACTGGAAGGATACTTTGTATTTTCGTATGGCTCCTGATTCTCCAGATCCTGAAGAACTTCCAGTTGTCTGCAGGTAACTAATTCTTGGTGCCTAGGGGATTTTTTTTTATCATAAAAAAATCAATTGAGGAGTAGTCAATTCCCCAGTTCTATAGTTGCAGAGTAATGTGTGATTATTCAGAGAGAAAAACTAGGAGAAATTTAAACCTACCCACCGTGCATGATTGGTAGTTAGCATAATACTTGATACCTTTTCACGCAAGCGATTCTTTGCAATTTAGTGTTCTGTTCCTTCCACAACAATCAAAGGAGAGAAGGGAAGCATTTCTTTTGCTGAAATCTCTGGGCCAAATCACCAAGAACTCCTAAAACATCACACTTATGCTTTTAAAGGAATTGCTGCGTCATAATTAATTAAGCAACTCTCCAACTGAAAGATTGAGGCAGAGGGTCTATAAGATACCAATTATCCCACCAAAATAAAATTTGATTCTCCATTCCCAGTTGTATGGCAGATTAAATCCCAAGCAATGCTTTTTAGTTCATTTTATATGCTTCTGTGGGCTGTATGATTGCTATAAAATGCATTTTTGATAGAAGCAAAACATAATTGCTTTTTATTTTCTTACAAGACTGTTAAACACACTACATAGAAAAATATATTGGGATGCATATATGGTATTGGATACAGTTCAGAAGCTAGTTTCACATGTTGCAGGGAGACAACAATCAAGTACTCGGCACATATAAGGGAGCTAGGGGATACCCTTCTTAAATTAGTATCAGAGGCTCTTGGACTCGATCCTAATTATCTGATCGAATTTGGGTGTACCAAAGGTCTCAAGCTTATGTGCCATTACTATCCAGCATGCCCTGAGCCCAACCGAACTCTAGGAAGCAAACCGCATACTGATCCTGACTTCTTGACTATCCTTATGCAAGATCACAATGGCGGCCTCCAAGTTTTTCATGAGAATAAATGGATTGGTGTCCCTCCAATTCCAGGAGCTTTTGTAATTAACGTTGGTGACCTTCTACAGGTAAGCACCTTGTGCTTGTGAATTCCTTCACGTACATCTTTTCACCTTCGTTTGCCCTTGACAAGTGAATTGTATTCAAACAGCTTATCTCAAATGGCAAGTTCAAAAGTGCTGAGCACAGGGTGCTGGCTAATCACATTGGCCCAAGAATATCGGTGGCTAGTTTCTTCGCTATCTACGACAGGGTTTGTGGTCCAATAAAAGAGTTGCTATCAGACGACAATCCTCCTCTGTACAAGGAAGTTCCGCTGATGGAATACATTACTCAATACATGTGGAAAAAAGAAGATGGAGGCATGTCCACACTTGATCGTTTCAGGTTGTGATTTTGGAAATGAGAACACATTGAAGTTACCTTGATCACTCCATTCGGTTATCAAAGACTTAAAAATTCATTCACTTCTAAATTTAACTTCTCAGCAACCTCTACTCAGGGCATCCATAACATTTTAGTTCCTGGTGGTGTTTGATTAAGCATTGTATGCACGTTTGTGCCTTGTATTCCAGAATTTATGCTTGGTTTTTGTTGTTTCAGTTAATTGCATTGAAGCGATGCACTTGAGGAAATGAACCATTTAGTTTATCAGATCACTCTGCATCGTATATTAGTGGCAGCTTCACCTATCGACATGATCTTATTATTCCTGTCTTTTTAGCTAAACCATGAAGTAGTAATCAATTTATTAGACTATTTTAATCTTGCAAAGGAAAACTGAACAACATAAATGACAAAAGAAATTATATCCAGGTAATGAAATCCAACGGCTCTATCTGTGCCGGCTTTCACGAATTGCTTAAAGGACTGATCTTGCCCGTGCATGCCGATTTTGATTTTGATTTCGAAAGACTATAAAATGGATAATACTTCTTGACACAAGTGGACATTTTCACTGTCGTTATTCTCTTTCACACAAAATCCCAAAAAGAAGTCATCGATGTCTCATGTGCCAACTAGAAGCCTAAGGACAGATCAACGAGAGCCAGGGGAAAAACACATTAAAGAAATCAAGCAACGGATGACAGAAAATCTCCAGTTCTTCGACTACCCTCCAGACATATTATTTTATTCTTCAGCTGCACCTATCTGTTTTTTTTTTTTTATTATTATTATTTTTTCAATGATTGGGCTGTTTTTCCAATCTAGGAGTGCCCATCTGAATGGGCTTGGTGAGCATTCCAGCCCAGCCTCCTTTCTTTTCTTACGCTTTTATTTCTTTTTTATTATTTTCTCAAAACGATTTTTTTTTTCAATAGTTAGTAGTTGTTTTTTTTTCTAAAAAATTATTAAAGAAAACTAAACACTTTTCTAATATAAATTGATTTAGCACTCTCTTCTAACTTGATTTTTTTTAAGAACTAAATAATTAATTGTGTGCTTTTTTTAATTGATCAAAATCAAACATATTCATAGGGATATATTTAAATTCAAACATAAAATATAAGCATTGTATTAATTAATGTATAATAGTATTATATTAAATTAAAAAAATTCTCATAATTAATGTTGATTAATTTTTATTTTACATTTAGCTTTTTAAAATTAATTAAAATATTAAAACATATTATATATATTTACTTGAGACAACATGCAGGTAGTAAACTAGTGGTTATACTACATTGGGTACACAATGATATTTATTTCATTTATTTTGCTTTTAAGATGAGGTACTGTTAAATTAATCAATAAAATTGTTATTTCTATCATTTTTTTAAAAAATTATTAATACATCTTTCATCAATATTTTTCATGTAACGAAGAGTGTATAGATAATTATCTAAAAAGTAGTGAAAATAATAATTTAGTTTGTAAATTTTAGTATCAGTTTAGATATTGTATTTTTTTTTTAATTCTTGTATCTGTTTTTATCTAAAAGTGAATACACTCCAAGACCAAAAAATCACTGATAGTCACAATAAGTTGCAGGCTATTTCTTAGATGTTTTTGAGCAAATTATTCTTTAGTCCTTAATTTTTGAACACAATTATAACTCAATCTTTTATATTTAAAAACCTATAACTTAATTCTTTAACTTTTGTTAATTATCTCTTGTCAAAACTTCGTTGGTTTTTTCTCAATTGCAATTCTATTATTTAACAATGAATAATTTAGAAAAAAAAACCTTAAATAGTGAGAGTTAGGAAGAAACAAAAAACAATCTATGTTTTAAAGAGACAAAAGTATAAAAGAGTCAAAAGATTAATATTAAAATTATTAATTTTCAAATATATAGGATTAAGTTATAACTACATTAAAAATGAAGGGACTAAAGAATAATTCACTATTACTTGTTTGAATGCTCTTCGTCTTGTCCACTATGTGTTTTGACTCTTGTCTAATAAAGGCTCGTCTTCTTGAGTGGCTCAAGAGTCTTCATAAAGACATAATTATTAAGATAACAAGCAAGAATGTCATAAGAAGTCTCTTCTCTGTGCTGCACACCACAAGCAGAGACATGGAGAACACCCATTTGCAACCAGATTTATCAGAACAAAATGGATCAAACTATGACAGAGAAAAAGAACTGATAGCCTTTGATGAAACCAAAGCTGGTGTTAAGGGACTTGTAGATGCTGGTATACAGAAACTCCCTTCTTTCTTTGTTGTACCAGAAAATGAAGTCTCTTCTATTGCCTCACCAAAACTGAGTCCAACCTATGTTCAGATTCCTTTCATCGACCTCAAAGACATAGATGAAGATACTGATCGGCATAAAGAAATTGTTGAGCAAATAAGAAATGCTTCAGAGACATGGGGTTTCTTTCAGGTTGTGAATCATGGGATATCTAAGGAGGTCATGGAGGGAATGATCGAAGGAGTAAGGAGATTTCATGAGCAACCAACGGAAGTGAAGATGGAATATTATTCAAGAAGCCAGAGAAAGAAGGTGAAGTACAATAGCAACTTTGATCTTCACAAGGCAAAAGTTGCAAACTGGAGGGACACTTTGTATTGTTACATGCCATATGGTGATGAGCCGGATCCTGAAGAATTGCCAGAAGTATGCAGGTAATTCATGATTCCTATTAATAGTCCATTTGTTTTATTAATAGGATCTAAGGTTGCCATGAAATCAATTTCCTGTAAAGTAATTGACCCAAGTAATCAACATCCTACATGAATCTAGCCCTTCTAATATCCCAATTTTAGGATTGGTGGGTACTGCACATTTAGTCATCACTAACTTTTATAGTCTGATTAGAGGAGGGCCACTAATTAGCGGATTGGATTAGAGAAATCTTAAACCTTAATCTAATCCTGTTGAATTTTACCACCTAACATGACTTGGGTTCTGAACCATTTTGATTTTGGTTGGTTCCATCCCAACAAATCAAAAGAAGGGGTGGTTGAGTGAGTTCCGTTTCAGTAGACAGTAAGCAGCCATGACGGTAAAGCACATGATCTCCTAATACCAGTCTGATTCCTTGGATGAAATCGAACCTCAAAATAGACAATTCCTAACTAGTCTTCCATCAATGAACTATACTCATATTGCAGGGAGATGTCAGTCAAATATTCAGAACATGCAAGAGGGTTGGCAGTTACCATTCTGCAGTTACTTTCAGAGGCTCTTGGACTTGAGCCTAATCATCTGATTGACATTGACTGTGACAAGGGTCTCAACATTGTGTCTCATTACTATCCAGCATGCCCTGAGCCAAATAGAACTCTGGGGGCCACTCCACATAAGGATCCTTTTTTTATCACTATCCTCATGCAAGATCATATTGGTGGCCTTCAAGTTTTTCATCAAAATCAATGGATTGATGTCCGTCCTCTTCCAGGATCTTTCGTAGTTAACATTGGTGACTTACTGCAGGTAATCACCAGACTGTCGCATTGATTTACCAATCCTCAAAAACTGCACCATTGTCTATTTATGGCCTATTTTTGTGCTAATCCTTTGTCCAATTTAAAATCTGTTTGTTTCCTTTGTTGAATAATTTACAATTTTTTTTATTTTCTGTTTAATATCTGGTTTTGGGTTGGACAGCTTATCTCCAATGACAAGTTCAAGAGTGCTGTGCATAGGGTGCTAGCTAGCCACATTGGCCCAAGAATATCTGTGGCATGCTTCTTCAAATCACATCTTTCCTCGTCTGACAGGCTTTATGGTCCATTAAAAGAGTTGCTGTCAGATGAAAATCCCCCTCTTTACAGGGAAAGTGGGGTGATGGACTACCTTATTAAATACAACACAAAAGGACTTGATGGTGGCACCACCACTCTTAATCATTTCAGGCTGTGAATTTGTAATTGACAAGACATTGAAGTACTGTTGTTGGCTTGAAATCTATAAACTTTCTTCTCCTTGAACCATGATCCAAGATAACAGTTAAGAGTTTGATTAAACTTTTGATGTGTATTTCCTTGTTGTATTTGAGAGCATATGGTCAGTTCAGTTTATGTTATTGTTAAAGTTAATTGCAGAAACTGAGCTGTTTGTTTATGGCATTTGATACCAATTATGGTATTGCTTTTTTGCAGTTTCTTAATTCAGTATGCCATAACATCTGGACAGGGCTTTTTAAGAAACTCTACAAGATATTTATAGAGAAGAGAATGTAGCGAAGCAAAATGAGAGAAGAAAGAAGATATGATTTAATATCAGATTGAAAATCCTCATTTTCAGAAGGAAATGCAGGTGATAGACTACATTGCTCGTTACTACTTGAAAGGACTTGATCTGGGCTCCTTCGCAGTTACAATTTCATGCTGTGAATTGGGAAATCACTGGAGTTCCCTTTGTTACTCAATCTGGTCATGAAAAATGGTTGTCAATAGCCTTGAACGGTGCAAAATGTTTTGAGTCAGTTATAAAGTAGTCCCTTTCGATTTGCAAAACGAATTAAATAATTCTCCTTGTTTTAGAAACTAATTAATTAGTCATTTTACCAATGATAACCATAATTAATTTAATATTATTTTGTTCCAAAAATTTTCTTCTTTTCTCATCAATATATATATATATATATATATATTACTTATTTTATTTATTAAAACAAAAAAAATTGAGAAAAGCAAAAATAATGAATTTACTAATAAATTTAAAAATAAAAAGATTAATTAATTTGTTAATAAAACTAGAGGAACTATTTAATTTATTTTGAAAAACTAGAGTAACTAATTTATAATTTATTCAAATGTTTTTAATGGAAATAAATGGTGGTTATGACATTGCATATGATGGCTAGTACAATATGAATTTTTCTTTTCAACTTAATAATAATAAAAAAAGCTTAATGTACTAGAAAATCATGAACTTTATACTTTTTAATCATATTAGCTCGTTCTTTCAATTTTAGATAGAAAAATAATGAATTAAATTTCGATAATCATACTATAATAGGTGAATTTTTTCAACTTAAATTTTGTTTTAATCGACATAGTATCGTGGGATGATGGTTGGGATGGTTTGTGGTGGTCAAACTAGCTGGTTTCAATGGTGGTTGTTGGCTCAATTGATAATAACCAAGACTAGGATCATCCTTCACATTAAAGGAGGGGGAGGAGCAGAATGCAAAGTCAATCATTTAAAATGACAAAGTCCGTAAAACAAGCTTAAAAAGAAATTTTCATATGAACATCAAGATGACATAAAAGTCTAACTAACGGTTAAAGTGACAAGGTCTAAATGTCATTGCCTAAATAGACTTCTATGGACAATAAAGTGATCCTACGTTATAAGACCCTTAAACACTTTTAGTGCCTTTAGGTATCCATTTTTTTCATAAGTCCAAACCATAGTTTATATTATGTGCTTCTATAAACCCTTTCGATCCAAAGCAGTTTGCTTATATTGTTGGATTTTAATCGCAAAAAAAAAAAAATTGATTGAGAAAAACAAGAAAACATGACCGATCGATGTGTTATTTGTCATTCTTTATAATATCAAATCATAAGTTTTCATCAACTATATTTGGGGTAAGAAAAACCAAATTAATATATTTACGGGCAAGATTATCCTTCAAAACCAATTTTCTCAAAAAATTTCTGCTTAATTTTTTCCATTCACCAAAATAGGCTTATTATTTGACCAGTCACCTTCGGTAACATCAAAAGCCGGTTTTTAAACAAACCTTACATGATCCAAACACATTTGCTTGGTTTAACCCAATAACTTTTTTGAAGAAATTGTATCATAGCATTTGGATTTCATATTTTGACTTTTGATTAATCAATATAGACATTTTCATAAATGAAAGTACTTTCATAGAAACATCTCTATATTTCTTTCAAATAATCCGAATTACTTTAATAGAGTCATTCAAATGTATGGTTTGATCCATGGAAACCGGATGTCTATTCAATGATTTTTTTTCTCAAAAGATGACAAAAATTTCAATACCAATATGTAAATTGTGATGCAAACGTCAAAAGATAAGCATTTGAAAATAAGTAGTGATTATACCGAGAGAGTTATAAATGTATGATCTCAACTAGTTCTTAAGGGCATCTCATGGTCCGATCTAAATGGTAGTCCACAAAATTAAAAATAGTTAGGAGGCAAGGCCAATGATCTAACCACTCGGACCAAATTTAACAATTGATCAAACAATGGCATCGTAAAAACAACTAATGCGATAGGAGCCTAAACAACAAGCATTTGATGATTAGTCGAAGTAGCCCAAGTTGCTAAACTTATGGGCGGGAGGGCTTTCTCAAGCAAACCAAAAGCCGATAAATCAATACGAGTTCAAATTCGATAATCCGATAAAGGAAGAGTCGAGCTTTTAAAGTACAACCTATGTTTGTCATATGTAATCGACTAACCCCCTTATGCCAAGTCTTGTTTCGAAACATTACGAGCACAAAAGGAAAGGAAAAATCCATCTTGAGCACAAATTGAAAAATCCCAAGGAAATAAGGAGAAACACGTTATATGAACTCACTTCAAGCTTGGTTTTCTAATAATAAACCATCACTTTTAGGCGGAATTGCTCGAAAACCATTGCATTTTTTTTTTTTTTTTGGCTAGTCATCCTACACAATGAGGTTATCGCATTTTACTTTTTAGAACAAGACACCTTGCATAATGAGGTTATTGCATGTTTACTTTTTAGGGCAAGCCACTCGCACAATAAAGCTATTGCATTTTATTTTTTAAGGTAAGATACCTTACACAATGAGGCTATTGCATTTTATTTTTAAGGCAAGCCACCTTACACAATGAGGTCGTCACATTTTACTTTTTAGAACAAGCTCGCATAATAAGGTTATTACATTTTATTTTTAGGGCAAGTCGGCATGCACAATAAGGCCATAACATTTTACTTTTTAGGACAAGTCACACTCGTATAATGAGACTATTGCATTTTATTTTTAGTATAAGTCACACTACACAATAAGGCTATTGTATTTTACTTTTAGGGCAAGCCACCATACATAATGATGCTATTGCACGTTTAATTTTTAAGGCAAGCCACCCTCTATAATAAGACTATCGCATTTTACTTTTTAGGACAAGTCACTTTACACAATGAGGCTACTCGCATGTTTATTTTTAGGGCAAGCCTTTCAACACAATGAGGTTATTGTATTTTTATTTTTAGGGTAAGTCACTCTGCACAATGAGGCTATTGCATTTCATTTTTCAAGGGCAAGCCACCATGTGCAATGAGGCTATCGTAGCTTTTCAATTTGTTTGGAACGATCACTTAGGATAACCAAACCATTTTCGTTAGTTAATTTATTTTTTCTTTAAAAACTCACTAACCGAACCCGAGTTTGAAGTTCACACTTCACTTGGCATTTGTCCCGTGAGCATTGTAAAGAGGAGGCAACCAGTTATGTTAGCTAAGTGAAAAAAAAAAACTAAATCAAAAAAGGTTAAAATATAGAAAAAAAAAACACTAGGTGAAAAATTAACATAGTCTTCTATCTAATAAGGACTTATATTAACTCAAATCAATCTCTTTTTAGTAATTATGTTGTTCTCCGACATATCGATTATGTTGACACTTTAATTAAATCGATGTTAAATTGACAAGAAGCTCGACGGAGGGGTTCGATAATTAATTCTACATGATGCTACAAAAAAAAAAAAAATACTTAGTTTGACATAGAAAATTAAACCTGGAATTTTTTTTACAACTAATTTTGGCAAAAATAGAAATTTGTTAGGAAATAAATTTTACGACTCAATTAGACATGGTACCTTTCCTAGGAAATGGTGCTTTTGGGTAATTGATGTCTTTCCAACGAGTATAATTAACTCTTTATCCGAGAATCTCTAAATTAGTATCCGTTTTAGGTTCATAGTTTCCTTAATATTAGGTGACGATTCCAAAAATAACTCACATCCCTTAAACAAACGAAATTTTCAAAACAAATCAACTTAAAAAATTTTTGGAGTCCTGTGAAAGTCGAATAACGACAAAGTTAATGAAGAAACAGTTGATAATGATATGAATTATTCTTCAAGATAAAGTTCTTGTTGAGACTTTATGCCGGTATGGCTAATATGAATTTTGAATCATGATTTATGACTTTCTCCTCACGGATCGAAAAGAAAGATTTGTTGGGTATATGTTTAAAGTCCAACCCATTAGTGGCCTTAACATAACTCAGTAAGAAATTAATTAAAAAAATTAATTAAGAAAATGATTAAATAAGAAAAAAAACTGAATTAAAAAATAAAAGAAATTGAAGGGGCAAATTGTGAAGTGTGTGCATGTGTAGTAGCGAAAAGGGAAAGAAAAAACAAAAAGAAAAAATTGATTTGACTTTCTTATTTTCTTTGGTTTTACCGAATAAAAGAAAGCTACTTGTCCTTTTTGTCAGGCATAGTTGCTAATGTGAGCAAATGGAGAGAAAATAAAAGAAAGCAAAGAATTTTTTTTTTTTTTTATAGGATAAAAACAAAACCAGGACTTTTGGCATGTGAAATATGAGAGGTTTTCTCTAACATTAATTTTTTGATACTACAATTATAAAAAATTATAATGTTCAATATGATAATTTCACACAGCATTGAATTTTACATAAATATAAAAAATTTGTAAATTCTAAATTTTTTTTTATAGTAAAACGAATTTAGTAAAAAAAGTAATTTTTATTATTATCAATATTTTTACTTTTAAAATCCAATTATAAATTTGAGTGATTGTATTTTTTTTATAATAAATTATTTCGAAATTGATCTCATAGTTTTTTCTATTTAAGATAGAAAAAGCTTTTAATGTAAATTTGATATTTTTATAATTTTGCTGTGCTTTTAATTATTGTGTGTTTTTTGTTTAATTTTTTTTAACAACATGTAGTTTATACAAAGTGAGATTAAATTCTCCAATAAAGTTGGAAGAAAAAACTCTTATTGTTCTGGTTCTATTGCATTGCCTTTAAGGGCTGTACAAAGTAATTACAGAGGATTTATAGAAAAAATTCTAGGAGCTAACAAATAGGCCGGCGGCATTGATTAAAAACTCATAGTTTTAGGTCGGGAATCTAACTGAAACCTTTTGTCATCGAGTTGGAGGATTGATTTATTGTTTATTACTTTGTCTTTTTTTCGTTTCGTTTGCTGGTGTTGACTTTTTTATTTATTTTTCTCTATAGATCTCCTCCTCAGAAAATAACGAGGATACATGGAGAACACCAAAATGCAGCCAGATTTAGTGCAAAATGAATCTGTCTATGATATAGAAAAAGAATTACAGGCTTTTGATGAATCAAAAGCTGGTGTCAAGGGACTTGTAGATGCTGGGATAGTTAAAATCCCTCCCTTCTTTGTGGTACCAGAAAGTGAAGTCTCTTGCCAACCAAGTCCTGCCGATTTTCAGATTCCGGTCATAGACCTGAAAGGCATTCATGAAGATGACGCTAGACGTAGGAAAATTGTTGATCAGATACGCAATGCTTCAGAGACATGGGGGTTCTTTCAGGTTGTGAATCATGGTATATCAAAGGATGTTATGGAAGGAATGATTGAAGGAGTGAAGAGATTTCACGAGGAAAAGAATAAAGTGAAAAAGGAATATTATACTAGGGACACGAAGAAGAAGGTGACTTACACAAGCAACTCTCTCCTTTACAAGGCAAAAGCAGCAAATTGGAGGGATACATTGTATTTTCGCATTGCTCCTGATGATCCAGATCCTGAAGAATATCCAGCAGTCTGCAGGCAATTTTTTGTTCTTAATTCTTTACCTCATTTCCTTCCTCAGTTATGACATATATCCTTGAATTAAGAATTCACAGTTAGTTCTTGTCAAATCTTTTGCTGCATAATTTTAATTTTGACAGTAAAGACTAGCTGAATAACACTTCTTGCTAGTCCAAGATCTCCATGAAAATGCATTCCCTATGACAATACAAATGCATATTCTTTTTATACAGGGCAGCTAATTGACGAAAAAATACTTTGTGTGGTGCTCATATTTGAGAACCGACATTTATCCAGAATTTACTACCAGTTTATCCACTAGTCTGTAGACTTGCCAGTCAAGTGATCTGACTGCCAACCAGCAGTAGGGTCTGCGTGATGCTTCTCGGAATGTGAATTTAGCAGGTGAAGCGTGTTTATATATGATGTTAGAGCTCACTCTTTCCCAACAACATAAATATCCAAGTTCAAACTGCAATCCATAATAAATCTGTACCTAATCAAAGTGGGATAGCCTTTTAAACCATGCTGCACTTCTTAGTTACAACAGATACTGAGTGAAATTCTGCCGGCTAATTTCCTGAATTTTTTAGGCAGTAAATTTATAGTAATTAACAAGCACTACTTGTCATTATGTTTTATGTAAATATATCAGCTTTTGTAATAAATATTAGCAGCAACAAAAACAACAGATACCCTGTATTAAGACACAGAGACAAAGTCGAAGACTGAAGAAATGAGGTTGACCTAGCTGACTAACTCAAGTGTGTGAACGCTTATCAAACTTTTGTTGATTTTAGTAGTGAAGTTTTCCAGTTTCACATATTGCAGGGAGATAGCAATAAAATATTCAGCATCTATAAGGAGGTTGGGGGACACCCTTCTTGAATTACTATCTGAGGCTCTTGGACTGAAGCCTAACCATCTGACTGAATTTGGGTGTGCTAAAGGGCTCAACATTATGTGCCATTACTATCCAGCATGCCCCGAGCCCAACCGAACTCTGGGAAGCAGCCCCCATAATGACCCTGACTTCTTCACTATCCTTTTGCAAGACCACATTGGCGGCCTCCAAGTATTTCACCAAGATCATTGGGTTGATGTCTCTCCAATTGCAGGAGCTTTCGTAGTTAACATAGGTGATTTACTACAGGTAAGTACCATGCAGTAGCTCTAATTTACATATTCTAGAACAATTTATGACCTATTTTATGCTTATGAATTATTTTACCAAACTTTTTTCACCTTGATTGGTTTGCTTTGACAAGTTATAGTATTGAAACAGCTTATCTCAAATGGCAAGTTCAAGAGTTCTGAGCATAGGGTGCTGGCTAATCTCATTGGTCCACGAATATCAGTGACGAGCTTCTTCGCAATCTATGACCGGATTTGCGGTCCGATAAAAGAGTTGACGTCAGATGAAAATCCTCCTTTGTACAAGGAGGTTCTGCTGAAAGACTACATTATTCAATACAGGTGGAAAGAACGTGATGGTGGCATCTCTATACTTGATCGTTTCAGGTTGTGAATTTGGAAGATGGAAATGAGAACACACTGAAATTACGTTGTTTATTTCATATGTTCATCGAAGACTGTTAGAAATTCAGTCACTCCTAAATTTGCCTTCTCGGCAACCTGAAGGCATCTACATTTCCATTTCTATTGGTGTTGCAATAAAGCATTGTTTGCATATTTGCTTGTTGCATTTGCAAACCTGTGGTTGGTATTTTGTTGTTCCAGTGAATTGCAATTGTACTCTTGAAATAAAAATGATTCAATGCAATGTATCTCCAGATTCTTTCTGCAAAATTGCAGGATTCCTCCCTTACCAGAACTGTATCTATCTCATGTTTCCAAGACGGTAGAATGCTTTCATGAAATTTGAGCTCTATCTTAGACCAATCTATGAATCACACGACATTGTGATCAGGATCTAATTCAATCTTATTAGCGTTCTAGTTCTATTGATCACAAAAGGTTTGCTAATATTATATATGAATGCCTCACATTTTAACTGCAGAAAGGCAGGATGTGACCTGAACCCACCAATGAACAGAAGTTGGATAGTGTGGTTCTCTATACCAGTCCCGATTAGACCCTAATGTGATCCTAATGTGCTAAATTGAGCCATATTGACGTAACATGCATGTCAATGTCTAATACGGTTTGTGTTAGAAACCGAAACTGATTGTTTATGCCTTATAGACAATAAAAACAGCCAGTTCAGCTGTTCCAATGGTCTATACAAGTTTAAAATGATGGTACAACAACTTTGGAAAACTATGGAGATAGTAGAAACTACTAACACTAATTTTGCTTCTAAAAGTTCTTGAATCGTCAAATGACATGCAATATATTCACGAGGTGATGATAGTTTCCCATTTCTGGACTAAAAGTAATCCTTTATAGAGTTTGTCAAACAATTAATTAATTTCTGAATAAGTGGAATCAACCCACATCCATTTGAATGGTGCATATCTGCACTAAAACTTGGCATGTGCAAATTTAAACAACAACAAAGTAAAGTGAAAATTGAGATGGCTATCGTCTTCAAACACAATAATTACGAGTGAGTAATTAGAAGTTGTAAATAATATAGGGAAAAAAATATACTAAAAAACTTCAAAATGAAGTTTCTCAGTTTCTGTGATTCTTGAACTTTTAAATGTGAGACCTGTGTGAACCTCGCGGCAAGCTTTTAATTACCAAACAAATTTGGATTGATTTTTATTATTATTATTATTATTATTATTTAAAAAATAAAAATAAAAAGCCACCTCACCCTGTAAAATGGGTACTGGTTAGTGGATTTATATTGAGTAATCTAACTAACACTCACAAATTAACTTTTAGAAAACCGAAACCGACAAGACTGTACGGATCATCGGTGAAAGTGTGAGAGCGTTGATTATATCCTTTAGAAACAGGCAAAGAGGAAAAGCGAAGCATCCACTTAACTTTTATGCATCACCCATTACACATTTACAACTTTTTGACCGAAGTTTTTATTATTAAGTTTGAAGTTCCAAAGACTTTCAAAAACTTCTGGAAGTTCCAATTGAAGTTCCATTATGATTCATTGACCAACCTCAAAAGGGACAACGCATATGATGTCCCTCGTTATTTTATTCACACAATCATCACCTATGCTTATATACTATTCATATGTTGACCAACTTTTGAAATCATAAGCCAAGTGGACACATCAACTGATCAACTTGCGTATTGTTGTTGCACCTAGCTTTGGCTCAAAGAATTTGTTTGTGAAATTCATTTGAAAACTATTCTTGGATTTTTTTCCCCCCTTACAAAGTAGCGAATATATAGTTAGAATATTTTCTGAACGTAAATTTATTTTATTGTATAAAATAATTTAAATAATTCATTAATCAAACTAACAGTTAGGATTTCAAGATCATCTTTTTTTGTTTTTCTTGCTATAGCAAGAAAGTAAGAGTTTTTAGTGTATCCAAGATTGAGTTTTCTCTGATTTTTGGTTCTATAATCTTAAATAATTTTAGTGTTCAAAGTAATGATTTCATATAGTATTAGATTTTATAGAAATACAAAAATTTTATAGATTTTAAGTTTTTATGATAATACAGATTATATTAGACAAGTAATACGTAATATTGTTAATATATTTGCTTCTTAAGTTTATGAAAAAAAATTGAATGGTTATATTGTTTTTTATTATAATGAATTATTTTAGAATTAGTTTCATAAATATTCCCTCTATGATATAAAGAGTTTTTCATATAAACTTGGTGTTTTTGTGATTGTGCCTTTGTAATTAATTTATCTTTTACTTTTGATTATTGTATTTATTTAATTTAATTATTTTCTGACGAAACATAATTTACACAAAGTAGATTAAATTCCAAACATGTTTTTCACCACATTTAAATTGTCCGTTTGGTGGGCAGCAAGAATTGCTTATTGTTTCAGTTTTATAAATAAAATTTTATTCCAACATAACAAAAAAAAACATGTTTTTCTTTCAAATTTCAAATCTTTGCTAATGCTTGCCGTCTATTGTTTTTTTTTTTCTTATTGGAAAATTAGGTGCACGAATAAAAAAGTGGTCGCTCTTAACCGTATCATAGTTAGAAAATTAATAATATATTTTTTATTTAATGATAAAAAAAAATTTAACATCAACTGAAACTAAATTTGTTTCTAATCAATTTTAAAAACACACCCCATACATCGATCTAATGCTTTAAAAAAAAATTAATAAATTTCTCTAGACATTGTCCCCAAAGTTTTATAATCACCAGACCCGTTCCTTTTAAGGTTAAATCATTCTTGTAATATGAGCTTACTAGAATCATACAAGTCCAAAAGATAGAAAGTATATAAAGTTACTAATTAGATCAGCTCTCAAGATTGTTTCCTATTTCAAAATGGAACCTATATATATATATATAGACAAAAACTTGAAAATTATCATACTGTTAATCTATCATATTTAATTCGATAGGTAGATAAGATCGAATAGTTTCCCCTAGTATTGTTAATTGATGAAAAAAGAACACACGAAGATGGTTTCATCTAGTAAACACACCAACTAGTCCTCACAGTTTTCTACTGAGTTATACATGCATTATCATGGATAAGAATTAGATTAATGCTTTATTCCATGCTTACCCTGTCATGTTAGGCAGGTCATTGGATGGGTCAAAATCCTCATATGCAAACCTCGATCGCTTGTTTTGTAACAATTTTTTTTTTTTTTTACTAATATATTTAAAGTAATTTGGATCATGGCATTAATTCAATGTTTCCAGTGTTATGTCAAATCTACTTGGATTTGAACTACTAACTACGTGGCTCTTTTTTCTTTTAAATTAATTTTAATTCTTTGGAGGTTTTGGTTCATGCATCTCATTCAAAGACCCACGTTTGTGTTTACTTAACAACTTCCTCATTCTAAAAAATTTTTTTATCATGATTGATTTTTCATAGATATATATAAAAATATCATATATGTTAGTTCGCTATCTTTTTATATATTTTTCAAAAATGTATTCTTCTTGTCATAAACTAAAGTGATAATTCTCTTTGACTTTAACACATTTTAAAAAACTTATTGATTATGATGCCACATCAGTATTTTTTATCTATATTTTTTTTCTAAAATATTTTTTTTTTTTAAGGAAAGAAAAACGTAATCATTCATTACAAAACAGGGCTATTTAAAAAATATAGTATTAAAAAATTTAATCTACCAAGTATTTTAGAACAAATATAAATAAAAAGAGGAACACTCTCTTCAGAAGAAAGAAAAAAAATATTTTTTAATTATGGATTTCTTATCAATAAGATTTAATTAGAGATATTGTACTAAAATATATGATTTAAATATTTTGACCAAAAAATTATTTTATAATAAATAAAAATATTTTTTTTTGTTGTGGGGGGAGGGGGGGTGTGTGGAACGAAGAGAGTAGATAATAATTTGTAGTTGTTAGTGAAATGGATTGAATATGCACGAAGGCTAATTGATTAAAAGCCTAAAAGGAACCAAATTTTTGGCACTTGTAGTGACCTAGTTGTGTTATAGATAATTAGACAAGCAATTAATTATCCCTATGAGGCTATATGTGGATTCTTTAGAAATAGGTCGTTTGGTAACGATGAGCATATTTTGCAATGCACTTAACAAGCAAAATCAAAACAAGTTGGTTGGTGAAGCAAAATCCAGGACAAAATGAGCTGGCGTTCAAACGTTTGCTTCATACAATTTCATTATTTGATCATCTCTTTAACGTTGCTACTACGGATTTTCTTCATAAATTAAGGATATATTTGTGAGAACATAAAACTCCAATAACACTACGGCACAAATCTTTTTCACCCATACAAAAAAAAGAAAGTATTAGGTAAGAAGTAACAAATTTGTATGTCAATAAACGTAAAATTAGCTGCTTACTAAATGTAAAATTCAATTATGAAAAAATTAATTAATTAATATTGTAATTGTGATATGTAAAAAATATTGGGTCGTCATCGTGGCAGCATTTTTTTTTTTTTTTTGATAATTTAAAATGAAACTCGTAGCGACACCTAGCGATACAAGAATATTGTTTAAAATAAATTGGAACCATGTACTTTAAACATGTATGTCTATGCATCTTGCTCTTCTAGAAAAATGCTTTTCGCTTTCTTAAAACACGACAAGAAGAACAAACTTTTTATTCCTTATTTAATCCCCTGTATTAATTCTTGATACGTAAACTCATGTCAAAAGGTATGTCTAATATACATGAATTACCCCATGTGCCAAATAAGAGCCACCGTTTTTTTTAGAAAAATAAAAAATAAATAACTTTCCATCTTTTAAGTAGAAACTATTAATTATATGATAGAGTTTGTATATTCTGTGCATGCAGGTCCTGATTCTCTTTCTGCTTTACGCTCAAGGGGAATGAACCAAAGGACATGAATCATTGATTATTTTCTACTGTGATCTGTGATTACAGAATAGAAAATAAAATTTCATCTAGAAGTACCACCAATTTAATGAGCCAAGCTTCCTAATAGCCGTGCACTTGTTCGTGCCGAATTTCTTTGTTCAGCACAAAAAAATAGTGCCGTGAGTAAATTGCAATTTAATACCTCTTTTTTTAATTTTTTTCTAAGTTAGTCTTTTGATCGAAGTAATTGATTGTTAATTCTTTTTCAGATGCATTTTTATTTTTATTTTCCACAAGCAAGATTTAAAGACAATTGACTGAAAATAAGGGACGTTTTGGAAAAAGATATAATTGTCATGAAATATTAAGAGAAAGTTTAAGCTACAAATAAATATAGAAATATAGAAATGTCATGTTGAGTTTTTTAAATTAAAATATTAACTAATTATTTAACCAAAAAAGGCACACGATAATAATTTACTCAAACGAAACAAACGTGCCAGGTTTGAAAGTGACCGTAGACTGTAGACTGTAGAATGTAGATGACAAAAGGTTCTAAACTCTTCATTCGACAAGGGATGTTACAGGTTCATGAATCTATCAAAAAGAGTTCAAATGACACGGGCCATTCTTTCGTTATAAATTCTGTAATTTCTTGCTGTTTCTCTTATTCGGTAACGGCAACTTAATAAGATGTTTTATCTTTTTCGGATAAATACAGAAGCTTTAAGCTGGCCATTAGGTACAAAATTGTTATGGAGTAATGTTTTAAAGTATAAGATTTATCTCATGAATATTCTGAGAATGGGTATAAAAGAAGAAGAACAAGACTCTTCCGCAAGTGTGCATTAAAAAATTGATCTTTAGATAGCTGCGTCTTTTAAATGTTTTCGTGATACTTGGTTGATGGATATATATGGCATCATTTCCAATGCATTCATGCACATATTAATGTCAATACATAAATTATAGCATTTCAATCAACTACTGAAAACGAAAGATTCTTGGGTAGATCCCAGTTTTACAACTTAGCAATTAAATGCTTAGTTGTAAAATTTAACCATTAAACACTTAAATGCAATGTTATTATACTCAGACTGGTTGGCCCAACCGAAAACTTGAGGATCCGATAACCCAATCAATTCGGATTGATACTAAAAACCGGATATGCAATATGATTGATCAAATCCTACAAAACCCAATAAAACTTGGCTAGTTGGACCCATAGATCAAGGATTGACCGGACTTTTTTTTTTAATTAAAGAAAAAATTATAACTTATGGGATTTGAATTTGGAATCTTCAACAAGTTCTAAAATCATGCACTTACAATTTTACCAATTTTATTTATACTTTGTATGTTGCAAATTATATTTATATTATAATATAAAGTAAATAGCTTAATTTGTCTTCATATTATAGTCCGAGTCTTCAATTTGTCTCTACATTTTTTTAATTGTATTTATTATATTCTTTAATAATGTTTAAGTCTTTAATTTATTTTTTCGATTAATGTTTTTGACAATAAGCAAAAAAAAAAAAATGATTGAAACCACCGACTAAAATGCAAAAAGAAAAAAAATAATAAATAAAATTTTAAATATTTAAAAAATAGAACAACCATATCATGTGATTTTAAGTGGTTTTCTTTTTCTTCTTCTTCTTCTTCTTCGTTATTATTATTATTTGCATTTTAGTCAATGATATTTTAGTAAAAAAATTTATTCATAATTAAAAAAATTGATCGAAATGATAGATTGAAGATTTAAACATTTTTCAAAAGAACATAATAGATGCAATTGGAAAAGAAAAGACATATTGGAGAGTAATAACATTGCTCACTTGAAAGATAAAAATAACTACATTAACAAGATAATTGCAAGAATTTCTTCTGTAAATATTTTTTTTATCCTGACAAATTAACTCAAGTTCACCTACAAATACGATTTTTTTTGTTCATATTGCAACATGATCGGTAGGTTTTGCAACTCAATCATGTTGAGTTTAAAATCAATAGTAGTGTAGAAAAACTCCTAAAAGCCTATTATACATGCTTAGTGACATTAATTTATTAATTATTTATGAGAAATATTAGGTATACAGGAGTTGTGCTATATATATATATATTTCTCTTTCTCTCTCTTATAGATTATTGATGAACCTGAATTAGAACAAAAATGATTTTCCTTTCAAAAATTTTTGGCTTTTAATTTCGTAAATGCTAAAAAAATTTAAACCTCTGTGGGTATGAAATTTAAAATTTTGTCAGCTGAACATGCATTTATGCTAGATAGATTTTCTTGAATTTATATTTTAACCCATAAGATTTGGTTTATGTTGTGTTGCGTTCCCACAAGAATATGAAAAATGCGAACTACCAAATCCTAAATTATTTTGGAATCGACAGAACCTCTAAAATAATCCACTGGAGTCACAGGATGGGAATGAAGCTTGATTCAACTTAATTTCAAGTAAAAATATATATTGCTTCTTCTAAGGACTATGAATCAACAACCAATAATTGTTTACAATGTTAGACCAAATAGTGAGAAAAAACCGTAAAGAAGAAAATGGAAATTAAATAATATGCTATATATTTTGGAACCACATGCAAATCTTTCAGTATTGAAATACGCCATTAATTAGCCTTTGAGAACAAAAATGCGTAGCCCATTTCCCAAGTCAAGGATTCTGGAATTCCCTTCAAAAATGGTGGGCATTCTTGCAAACAGACTTCTAAACATCTAAAACAGCGTGCTAATTACTGGCATAGACACCGGACTGAATCATATTTAATTAGCTTATTCTCTGCCACATTAATTGATTTTATGATATCCAATTGAAATATCTCATGATGCTTATATGCATAACTTTAAAGGTTGATTTGATTATTAAAGGGATGCCTTATTTTTTTTAGGTATTAAGATTTTAATTTTAGATTGTGTGGTGAGAAATAACACTTTCATGAATTTCCAAAATCTGATGTGAATAATTTACGTTTAACAAATTAAAGAGATAAATTTAATTTAATTTAATATATTAAAACTGATTCCAAAATATTCTTAATAATAAATTGAAAAAATAAATTGCTGCTTAATCTTTGTTGGAATCAATTTGAAACCAAAATAATTTATCACCTTCACATATATGCCGTCTCTATCCAAAAACCACCAAACAAAAAGAGGAAAATTTTTTTCTTTTTTTCTTTGGAAAAATTAAAAGATCTACATTGAATTCTACTACATATTCATCGGTTGTGCTATTATATATGTCCTCATTTTGTTTGCAATGACAAGTGTGAACAAAACAAATAGCGGGACCAGCAATTGCCAAACAAATGAATTAGTAGTGGGAGCATGCCATTGTCATATAGACCTGGCTAGCTATGGTGCCAAGTAGACAAATGCTATCGCCGTCGTGCCACCATAAACCTCCAAAAATTAATGAAATCATCAGATGATGTCAGCAAGAATTTCTTATTTGACCCAGCCGCCACCCCCCATTGGTCCTTTGACTCACGTGCAGCAACTCATTCATGGGCCCTTTTAACGACCCAATTTATTGAAAACGCCCTCCAGTAAGCATATTCAGGTAACCATACAGTATTCCTCCTCTTTTTTAGGAACCTTAGGATTTTCCCTCTCCAGTGCCTATATAAACTCCTTTGGCTTAAAAAACATCATCTCCCATGACCAAAGACCACCTCACTAGCCAAACAAAGAATTCAAAAGATTGAAGAGAAATTCCACTCATTCAAACATCAAAACAAACCCACTCGATCCCTTAATGGATTCTTCATATTTTCACTACCAAAACTCACAGTTCTCCCCGGAATCTTCATCTTCCTTCAATTCCCTCGATTCTTTCTCACGTAACACAAATAACTTATGCAGCCAACCCCTTCCTTTTAACGAAAATGATTCCCAAGAAATGCTTCTCTTAGGAGTCCTCAGTGAGGCCCCCATCAACTCTTTTGACACCACATCATCCACCAATACAAACTATGACGAGGTAAGTTCAAGAGCGAATTATCAAGAGGAACAACCACATGAAGTTGCTTATAGAGGGGTTAGAAGGCGGCCCTGGGGAAAATATGCTGCCGAGATAAGGGATTCAACTAGAAATGGTGTGAGAGTTTGGCTAGGAACATTTGATACTGCAGAGGCCGCCGCGTTAGCTTATGATCAAGCCGCATTTGCAATGAGAGGTTCCATGGCAGTACTAAATTTTCCTGTCCAAAAAGTTTACGAGTCACTTCAAGAAACGGGTTACCGGTTCCAAGAAGGGCAATCACCAGTTTTAGCGATGAAAAAAAGACATTCGATGAATAGGAAAGCCGAGATTAGGAAAAAGAAAGAGACGGAAATGAGAATGGAAATGGAAAATGTAGTGGTCCTAGAGGATTTAGGGGCTGATTATTTGGAGGAACTTCTAACCATGTCAGAGAATGCTAGTCCTTGGTAAATAAGCGTCTAGCTACCATCTTTCTTTTACACTTTTTTTTGTTTTTTCCTTTTAGGAAGTATTAGTTTGGACTTGGAGGTGGAATAAGGATTCCATCCTCCAATTCTATTCTGAACATTAGATATATTATCACTTAGCCGATGGTTGATTGGCCCATTGGGTCTAACTTATAGATTTTAAATCGTTGCGCTTTAGTTGATGGAGAAATCTACCACTTTTTCGTTGGATAATGTCTTTTTGTGTGCATTTGTAAAATTTGAAGATAATGAGAAAAAGGATTAAAATTTTACTCTATCTGTCTCAAGTAATTAGTCTCCTTTTTATTACATTTATTTTTAAATATTTATATGATCAAAATTTCTAAATAATATACTTTCTTAAAGTATCCCTAATCGATAAAAAAAATTCATTCTTTTTCAATTTCTTAATCTGCACTAATAAAAAATCAATACTCTTTATCCTTTTTCTTTATGCATATAATATTTTTAACATAAAAATTTTAAAAAGAAATTTTGTATTAAAATAAAAAATAATCATTCTTGTAGGGATTTTATTACATGTCTAAATTTTGAGAGTAAAATATTTTTATTAGTATTTTAATTTTCAAAATTATTTTAAACTTATTAATTAACTTAATAATTTTCCTTTGATTTACTATTTTAATTTTGAATGGACTTTCTTCTAAGATTAATATTGATTTTATGTAATACATGATTAAATTTGATAACTAATAATTTTAAAAATATATATATTAGAAATATAAATAAAAAATACTGTATTAAATAATAATTAATAATTTTTAAAAATTATGTGAAAAATCAAAAGGGGTTATCTTTTGAGGCTGAAGGAGTAATTAATTATTACGCACAACCAAAGTAATTATTATGTGGGCCTCTAGCTCTAGGCTTGGGATTTAGACAGGAGAACAAGGGAACAAGATTTGTTTTTTATTTTAGTGGATTAATTAACAAAGCTGTGTTTATACTACTGCAGATCGATTGTGATAGTTGGTGGAAGACATTGCTTGATTGTTATATGGAATAATTTTATTGGAAAACCTATAGCCATACGTTTATGCAAATTTGTTTGAAGTCAAACTTTGATTTTCTGTTAAAAGTGCTTGGAAGGCATTGAAGCAAAATTGAATCAAATGGAAGCACTGTCCACTGAGCCAGATGTTATTAGTGGCTGTGGTTGACACGTTCATTCATTCAAACAGACGTACCTCCTTCTACTCAAAAGGAGAGAACATCAAAAAATATTTTCATTAGTTAATGAATTTGTACATATTCTGTTTAAAGTTTTCGATTCTGAATCTCTTTTGTTTTGGCTGTGATTTTTTTTTTTTTAAACTGGATAGTATTCTTTTTATTATTTTATACTACTTATTGGAAAGTAAAAATAAGAAATTATGTTGATTTTGTAAAATATTCTCTAGATAAGATGACTTCATTATTTCTTGCTCTACTTTCCCGTCTTATGTAGTGGGCGGTCTCCTCCTGGGTTGGATTCCTATTTCTTAGAATAGGTTTCGTTTACTGAGAAGAAAAAGAAAGAAGTAGTACGTACTATTTGCCGATCCATTGTTTTATAGGATATGCCAATTTTTCTCATTTATGCATTCAAATATTAAGAATAAGAACCGCTTCATGTATTTTTGCAATTTTTTTCTCTTCTAGTCTATCAATAGAAACAAGGACGGATTTGTAGATAGTTTCCTTAAAGAAGTTTCGAGTTCAAACACACAAATACACACATATATAAATGTTTTGCCCCCGCACTTAAAAATACATTTCAATTTGGTGTTCTTTTAAAAGTTTTTCAGTTTGATCTTTATAAATTTAAAGTTTATTCCCACTTTTACTCCTGAAGGGAATTTTCTTAACGTATTTTACCGTCAACCCTCATAAAGATGTAATGTTTCCTGTCTTTCCTTTCTTCCTTTAAAGATATATAGTTAATTCAAACTTAATCCTTATAGTTTGACAAAACTAATAACTTAGTCCTTATGGTTTTAGACAGTATAAATTAAATCCATACATTTTTAATCCATTTATAACTTAGCTTTTTTTTAAAAAAAATAAATAAATATCATATTCATTTTCAATTTATATTGATGTAAGACTTTTTTTTAAAAAAAAAAACATTGTTGGAATAAAAAACTACTAAATTGGCTATGATCAACAATATTGGTAAAAGTATTATCTAGTTTTTTGTATTGTGGGTACTAGGTGATTGCTTTTGATAAACTAAAAGAACTAATTTATAATTAACTCTTAATAATATGATACTTACACGGTTTTTTCTAGAAAAAGTTTGTTCACTGGCAAAGAATTTATCCAATTTATCCACATTGATTCCTAACAAAATATTACTTATAAGTGTTGATTTCTAGTTCTCTAAAGTAAAAAATTTCTTGCCCCCCGAACCTTCAATCTTGGATCTGTCATTGGTTAGAATAACGCCAAGAAGGTAACTATTAGTAAACTTTATTTTGGTTACTTTTACAATATATACCCTTATTGTTTGCCTTTGATTAGATAGTGAGGCGAAAAAAACTGTCAATTATCTTCGAAGATTGTATTAAATTTAATTATAATAATGATATACAAATATTTTGATCCAGTTCTAATAAAATTTAATTAAATAGCTAGTGATGCAAATTGGACATTAGGTGACGTACAATTACATGTATGTGGTGATTCAATCACAACCTATAAAACTAGTTTTAGTGTTTTGCGCTACACTACGGCCAAAACATTTAGAAATACAACGTGTCTTATGTCATTGATCGATAAAGCAAAAGCAGAATATAAATAATTTAGAGACTATAGTAACATTGAAGAAATAACACAGAAAATCAAAATCAAGAAGGAGTGCCCATTTAATGTATTAATATGGGTATGACAATTCTTATACAACCATGCAGAGGCTAATTTGCAATCCACAATCCGTTATTGAGCTCAGACATGAAAAGTCCTCTCTCTGTAATATGTTTCAGCATGTTACCACAAATCATAAACAATTTTGTATATGCTTTTTATTATTATTATTATTCTTTCACATGTAATGAATTTTAAGAGGCTCCAACTTTGAACATGCATATTATAGTTTCAAAAAACTGAAACAGAGAAAACCATACTATGATTCAAATCACGCCTTTATTGTGAGGATTAATTTTTTTTTAATGCACCATAAATTGAACTCCAATGATAAAGATGGACCTTTACCTTAAGATTTAACCTTTATCAGAGATATTTAGGTAGCACATATTGTTGAAAAAACCTATAAATGACTCTAGATTTTGAATTCAATCAACAATTAGAATGAGTGAAATGCATAACTTTTGCTATTATAAATGAATAGCATAATGAATTCATAACCTTCTTTAGAACTATTAGGCTCCTAAATAAATGATGAGCAATTCATCAATGATCTCAATTCACAATACAACTAATCATTATCAACACATGGATTATCCAAACAAAATTTAAAGGGCAAAGAAAATAATTCAAAACTATTTATATAGATAAATCAACATAATTTCTTTAGAACACATAATTGGTCTTGCCACTAATGTCAATGTACATGATATTTATTATAATTTTTTTTTATTAGTTGTTCGAAGTTATGCTTTGATACTTTATTGAAGCATTTTCTTCTCCCATTTTGTTTTCCAATTACTTCAATACAGTAGCAATATTAGGTACTTCAGTGTGCAAAATATTAGAAGAGTATTATTTAATTAAGCGAGTAACACATAAATGACTCTAGCCAACATCCATAAACAAGCTAAAATACATGACATTTAACATTGAATTTCATATGATCCAAATAGTATCAAAGAGCTTGTACCCTAGTGATAGTGATCTCTTTCAACAAGAGATCACGAGTTCAAATCCTAATAGACTAGTTCTATTAGGAGTCTTAAATGTGTGAGTTAAAAAAATATAAAAAAAAATATGATCCAAATAGTATTTAATAAGTTGATGAACCTCAATTATTTAAGCCGATGAAAGTAATGGTGACAATTATTATTTTTCATATCAATTTTTTCATGAGATAAAAATCTTGAAACAAATTGTATTAGATGTGTCACTACGCAACCAGCGCAAGGCTCTCGAAAAATTTTATTATGGATTTATTTGAAAGTTTTGTTTATTTGAGGATATGAGATATAGTAATTTCGGAATTGCCACCTAATATTAAAGGTAACAAAAAAAAAACCTAAAATAAATACAAGCTCGGAGATTCTAAGGCAAAGAGTTAGTTATGCTTTTGAAAAGATATCAATAACTCAAAAACGTCCTTTCTTAGGAAAGATACCACGTTTAGTTTAGTACTAGAGTTTATTTCCAAATAATTTCTCTTTTTGTCAAAATTAATCCTAAGTCAAAATTCTAAGCTTTATTTCCTATATCAAACTAATTTTTTTAATTTTGTTTGTGGCATCATATTAAATCGATTGTCAAACTTTGCCATCGAAAGTCTCATCAATTCAATATCATATCCAATTTAAATCTTGGCATAATCGGTATGTCGAAGAACAATGTAATTACTAAAATGTGATTAATTTGAGTTAACATCAATCTCTATTAAATAGGAGACTTTGTTGTTTTTTCACCTAGCATTTTCTCTATTTTTCTTTTGTTCTTTTCCCATTTTTTTTAATCTCTTTTTTTCTTTTATCATTTTCATCATTTTTTAATTATTTTTTCTTTTTTTTAATTATCATTTTATCATTTTATATATATATTTCTTATTGATAGGGATTCGTCATTAGTTCCCCGAAATTAAGAGATTTGACAATTCGTCCACCTATTATATATCTCATCTAATTATCAAAATAAAACCTAAAATTAAATGTTGACTAAATAAATAAATATAAGAACTTATAAATTTAAAGTATTAAATCTAAACTAGGTATAAAATAAAAGACATGTATTTTTTTTTTAAAAAAAAAAAAAGGACTGATTTTCCTAGGGAATTGTCTAAAAGTA